CTGAGCAAAGCCTTTTTCTTTCTGGCTGCTTAACCAGTTTTCGCTCTCTCCAGACCGTCTCCACCAACGCCTGATGCAACAATTACAACCATATGAAACCAAGGGCTTCTGGGATTACGCGAAAAAACAGGTATTCCACCATAAACTGCATATTTGCTACACATCCCATTGCAAGAGAGAATGAATAAGAGGTGAAGTACACACTGGTAAGCAGCTGGAAATAAAAAATGGGACTGGAAGGGGAAAGTTGCTTTGTTGGCAAGGAACAGAGCAGTCATTACTCGTCCTACCCCCCAGGCACAGGGAGAGGAAGAGCTGCGAAACAGCAGCGCTTGCCTCCCAGTCTGCACTGATGGGTTTGTTTAAAAGGTCAGGATAGATCGGTGAACCTTTTTCATAAATATGAATGCAAAAACCTCTCAACCATTCCAAGGAAATATCATGAAAATGGGTTATTTACACATTATTCTTTGATTCTGTGTGGGGGGGTGTTTTAAATTTTATGCCTTGCTGTTCCAATATTTCATAAAGAATTTTTATCTCAATGCTACATGAATCTGTTCTATGACCTTATGTCAATAAAATAAATCTTTTTTTTCCAGTGCTTTTCCAAAATAATACAGTTTAACACCAGAAAAACATGATTAATGTATGTTTCCTGCCATGCCTATAATAGTGCACAGGAGATTATAACTGCGACAACTGTGAAAATGAAGGTAAGAGTTAAATTAATGGAAGTAAAGCTATATCAAAAACTAAGTTAGCAAGTATAAGTAAGATGATCTGTAAAGCCTGATATTTTTAAAGCCTCTGCCACAACACACCAAAGAGAAACTGCAGGGCTCGATCTCCCACTGCACCATGAGTCCAAACGCTCTGACAGATAACCAAACAAACAAATACATAAATAAACTCTTCAGGCTTCAGTGTCACTAGAAAAAAAAAAGAAAAAAAAAGAACCAGTATTAGAGAGAAACTGGTTGTTTTTCTGCATAAGTATGTTTTTCAAATGAAGGAGAGTCAAGAAAAATCCGGCAGCAAGAAGAAAGTGAGTGCAAGATGAGAGGCGGGGGAAAAAAGAACACTGATATGAGTAATTGTTGACATTTATGAGCAACTGAGGAAGAAAAGAAGTTCAAACTGTTAAAAGTGTCTGCTTTACATAGGCCATAATCATTCATGGCGAGAAACCACGCATGAAGTATCACAAGCCTGCACGAGGCATAGATCAGTGTCCAAAAAAAGATGCAACTGCAAATGTTCAACCAGATTTACAAGATGAAACCAAAAGTGGTTGATTTCAAACTTAAGTATCAGATTTCACTAATTCAATAACAGGCGACAGCCTCAATTGATTTTGGCACATCTTACACGTTAAAAAAAACAAAAAACAAAAAACAAAACAACGTGTGGCTGGCAGTTAGCAATTAAGTAAATAATAACCCACGGAAGAATAGTGGGAAAGGAAAAAACAGATCAAGCTCCTCTTGCATAAGTATTATTAAGCAATTGTTTAATGGAGTCATCACTTTTGGCAGAATGGAGCATAGATTACACAAGGTCCTTGGCACCAACTAATTTAGCATTGGCTAAACACCAAATTTTTACTTAAACTGAAAACATCTTAGATGACGTAAAAACTGACTACAAACTTCACCCACTTCTCAAGCTTTCTACTTGTCGACGATGACCCAACAGGTACCCATTTAACAAACAGTGTCTCATTATCGTAGTGGATAGTCTTAGCTCAAATCACGTGTCCTCTGCTCAACCAGCTCTGGAAATAATATCCGACTTCTGTGTGAAACCCGCTGGGCATTTTCAAGAACATGGTTTTGATAACTCAAAAGTCCTAAGCTAACATGCGCAAAATTCGGTATTTTCACATCGTGTCTCCATTGGCAGCTTTACGGAAATTGTCCTACTTTCATTTGAAACTGAAACTTGAAACATTTGACTTTTAGTATTTGTTGACTACTTGCTTCACGTTAGACTCATAAATTCCAGAAATGTGGGCCTCTTGCCCCCCCTCCCTCTTAGCCTCAGATGCACGTGACTGAGAGTGTTTGGTCTCGTGCTTGTTGTGCCAAAAAGCGATCGCCTGCCAAAACCTGATTTCCGGTATTTGCCAAAACTGATTGCTCGTATTTAAACTGCTATAAATAACTTGTTGGTCTATAATATGTCAAACATATGTCAAGTGTATCCCTCATGAATGACATCGACTCAGCTTGAGCTGCAAACAACATTCCTGTAACAAGGTAGAAGCCAATCAGTTTTTGGCAGTGACTTTTATTTATCCTTTATTTATCCAGTTAAAAAAATGTCGTTGACATTAAAAATGTCTTTTTTAAGAGTAATCTGGACAGCAGAAATTGCAATAAATATAACAATAGTTCTGTAAACATATACTAAATGAACAAAAAGGACCAGATTGGTTATGGTAAGTACAATAAAACAGAGTTATAAAGATACTTGAAAACCAGGTAATTTAATTTTTTTATATATAACCCCTTTGTAAACCCTTTTCACCGAAGTCTATTTACCAACATACGTAAAGATACGTAAAGAAGACACATAAAAAATACACGGAAACATTGGAAATCAGTTTTAGGCAGCGATCACTAGGCCGCTAAACTGCTGACAGCGAATTTGGTAAAAAGATGGAAAAAAATGCTTTCAGGTTCTTTTTATACATGAGTAACATAAGTAAAAAGTTAGCATAAAAACGGAAGCACAATTTTATATACAATTCCATAGTTATTGGTGCCTAAATGGTGAAATCTACATCTGCGCAATGGTGCAACTGAGGTGTAGAAAAATAACACAGAACAAGTTCACAGTACATGATTTAATAAAAAGATCACAGCTGTGTGTTTGGAATAACCATGCAGATTGAACAAAGTGAACTCTAATTTGTGAGTTCACCAAGGTCTTTCTTTAAATTTCCTCCCAAAAAAACGTTACTTTTTTCCCCATAACTTTATATAGTAGTTTATCTACTGAACATGTATTGATGAAAATGCTTGGGGTGCTTCATCAATCTCTGGAGGAGCTATATGGATCTTCATAGTCAATGCAGAAAACTCAGTAGACCAGATCATGATGTGACAGAAATGTCAGGACTTATTATAAACTCTATGCAGCAAGTGCTTAATACGTAATTCAAAAAGAATTATTCCTCATTATGTAATTTATCAATACAGATATAATCTTTTTTGATTATTAAGCTCACATATAACATATATTTGGTATCATTTAGGAAGTAAGTGATGGACTATAATGATTAAAATGTGAGCTCATTGTTTGTGAGTTTTTTATAGAGATTTTCTAAATATTTAAAGAGGATATTCACAAATATTTTTGTCAGGAATAACTGTGTGGGAACTTTTTCTTGGTGACTTCACTCATGGTACAACATTCTTTCCATCAACACTAACTGTCGGTGAATTTATACTGCAGCATTTAAAAGAACAGTTAAGAGAACAGTTAAGAGTCACGTAACAATAAACATCTTAAACAGCAACACGTATTCCCAAGGCATGATGGGAGATAACTAGCCGCTCCCAACACACCACAATATGTACCAGGATTAATACAGTATGACTACTGCACTTACAAACTTACAGTCTGGTCCCGCCTCACGTGGGTTATATTTGCATCTGGCAATAAATATTTGTATGTTCAGGTTTCAGACTGGGTTTTTTTTTTTCTGTTCTTGGATGTCCGTGAGGTCACTGACTGCTAATACACTTAGCATGATCATGTCAAACATATAGCATTCTGGTTGTGATCATAGAAGTGCCAACCACTTCTGTTTGAGATTCAGCCAGTCAGGGGCTAGCCAAGGCTAAAAGCCAAGGCTGTGGAGCTGGTAACACATTCTGAACACATCACATCTATGTGGAACATTTTTAAGGGCTCAAATGGTCTAAATAGCTCATTTTTTGTGGTTATGATTCATTCCATGGGCACCTTCATGAAAATCCAGAACAACCACTGTTATACCCAAAATATTGCTTATTTGAGACCAGAGCAGGTAGTTTGTACTGCCTGTGCCGGTATGTGAACTACTCCTTCATAAAAAAGTAAGAATAGAATTATTTGTTGGGCTTTTTAATACATTTAGGTAGCAATGTAATGAATTTTTATCCATTTTCTTAACCACTTATGTGATTTAGGATCCCAGTACGGTAGGAGCTTATCTCATTTGTGATAGTTTGAGAGGTGGAATACACCTTGGGCAAGCTGCCAGTCCACCACAGGGCTATCACATAGAAACAGCCATTCACACCTATGTCCAGATTAACATCACCAATTACCTGACATGCAAACATGCAAACTCAACACAGAAAGGCCCCAGGCTCTGGCTGGCTGATTCAGCCCCTGGACTTTCTTGCTTTAGTTGACAGTGTACCACCATGCAGCCTGCTTGTTTATACCTGAATGTTAATGCCGATACAGAGGCTGTTCCTAATTTTATGCACCCCGTTCTACACCACTTCTTTCACAAGTTTTTTGGAGAATTTTCACAGATTTTAGTTTGAGCTCTGTGCAAGAGAGCTTGAAAGCAAGCTGCCTGTCTCAGTGATTTAGGAGATTTGGGTTTGTGTTTGAAGCTGCTCTTCTGGAAGGATCAAGGCAGGGATTGGTTTGACATAAAACGCACAGCTGAGTCAGGAACCCTTTTAAACACACAGTGAGCTAAACATCTCTACTGCATACACACACAGCACAAAATAAACTACACTTGTGCTGTTGCTGAGTCAAACACTATTAAGATATTAGCAGGGCCATGTTTTGTAGAAAAAAGGCAAACTTGCATTTTTAATGTTGCAGCTGCAGTGCAAGTATCCAAGAAAAACTGAATATTTAACCTTGAAAATAATCTTGTTTGACTGTATTTTTGTATGTACTGTATGTATTTTGTCTGTCATACTGTGTCGAATCTGACCTCCCGCGCTATAGTCTTTCTATCACAGACAAAGCCATTTTCCATTTTTCAAAAATATTTTATTTGATATTGATCCAGGTACAAGGAAATAAAAGAACATGGATGTATCTTACAGGACGTGGGAATGAAGCTGTAAAAGTTTATTTTCTTGATCCACTCTCTTCTTGGACATGCAAGTGAATACAGAAGGTGGTTTACAGGGGGAAAAAAGGAGAATGTACCGTACTGTAGAAATCGCATTGGATCAGGGTGTCGACCTCACCCTTTACTGTACAGAAAGACTTCACCCAACACCTTTCTCTTTTTGTCATTTTTAATCCTCTTTTATAGCAAAAAAGGCAACACACAGATAGGCTACAAAGAACCAACAATATTGAGAAAATGAACAAAGGAGAGGAAAAGCACTTTTATCCTTTGTCCTCCTGACAAGCAAATTGTGAGCATTTTTACTCCTTGTGTTGAAAGGATTGTAAGTTTCTTCAGTTTTGACATGAGAAGAGCAGTGCAGTGAACATGCAAGACGAAGAGTGACGACTACTGACCCGGCACTTCACCATGCTGTGAGCACAGTGTGCCTTTCATCTCATTATGGCCTCGCTGCTCGGCTCTGACACCAAACTTTACAAGGAACAAAAAAAAAAACACATTTTATATCTCACAAATCTTTATGCATATTTCACAATATACTTTTATTATCATTTTAATAAATACAAAACGACACTGTGATTTAAAAGAAAACAATGAGTATTAAAGAGACACTAAAACGCATTAGACAATCTTAATTTGGTATGTTCTTTTACTGACATCTTAAGGTGGATGAACCAGCACATTATACTCAAAGTCCACAGCAGAAAAGAAAAGAGGGGACGACAGAATCAGACATGAGAGGGATAAACTGTCAATGGAAATGGAATGGCATAATCAAGTGGAGATGCGTATGGATATATACACATATATACACATACATAAACACCACCAGAATGTAAAATAACCTGAGATACTCTTTGCACCTCATTTCCAGAACACTGGCCACTGGGTGGATGGTAAAAAAAACAAAATGACATGGCATGACGACAACAGTACAACAGCATCTGATGGCCTTTAGTTTCCCACCCCCCCCTTATCAACATTAGCAGTACAAAAAAAGACAAAACAAACAGTCATTAAACCACAAAAATCCTGAACATTAATATTGAAAACATTGTTTTAAGCAGCGTTTTGGAGTCCATAAAAGGCATACAAAGAAACAAGCTTCTCATTAAAAAAAGGACAACCAAAAAAGAAAAAAAAGTCATTGAAAAAGACAACAATTGAGAATCAGAGGCTGAGAAGTTGAAAGCGGCAAAACATAAGTGTGTGTGTGTGTTGTGGCAGTCGGGCAGACAGAAAGTGTTCTGCTCCACACTCGGGTTGCACACATGGAGGCAGTGAGACCTACTAGTTAATATACAAGGCCTTTCTCCATTTTCGCTCCACTCACAGCTACGTTGTAAAACATACGCACTCATTTTTATCCCTTAACATCACTGACACAAGACTGTGCTGATCTTAGCATACTGGAGGCCAACCGCCGCTTCTGTAGATTTCATTAATGAACAGCACCCAGCTGAACCCAGCAGGTCGGTGTGTTGTTTTCCTGGATCATACTGTACCCAGTGACAACATCACAAACACCAAAGAGTAAGTGCTGTAAAAATCAAACAATTAAAAAAATATTAGTAACCAAAAGACAATAAAATGAAACAAACAAACAAAAACACAAAAGATGTAAACAATTGCTGTTGTTCCACTCATGATTTAGGAGTAACATTACCACTAATAACAATAAATGCTCCTTTGTTTGTGTTTCCTACCTATTAAGGCCATAGAAGAATCACAAATCTGCCTTTGTAAGTGCTCCGACCGGACTGCAGCATGCGGATAGATTTCAGCGACTCCTCCCTTTTAACCGTTTTATTCTAAGTGTGCTGTTTTACTGAATTATTTAGGTAGTAAAACCTAATAGAAATGAAAAAAAGAAAAAGAATTTGAAATGCTCGGAAACCCTTGTACTAGAATGGAGCCAATGCTTGGAGTTGCCCCCAAACATCGAAAACTAGATATTTCTATTGTTTTAGGGGTTAAATAACCAACTACAGCAATACAGAATCCTTTCTGTACTTCTTTTGGCCTCGTATCTGTCCTTCAGACCCTCAGGAACCTTGTGTGTCTGCCACCCAATTTGTCTCAACTGTGGAAATGGGCGCCTTATTTGTTGCTGTCTGTGAGCAAAGCATTACTCTTTAATATCTCTCTGTACATTAGCATATATTTTTCTTCTCTCTACTTTACAGTACAGAAACTCCTCTTCACATATTCTTCCGGTTCTTCATGTCAGCAGGAGCTATGTTTTTTTGTGCTTATCACCAAAAATTGCAGTGCAAAAACAATAATTAATAATAACAATAATAATGATAATAATTAATGGTAGCTATCAACAAACAATGGATTATAAAACAATTATTTTATGGCACAACAGCCACTCATTTCACATATAATACAAATAACCAGATAAAACCCAACTGTTCCTGTATATGGAAATAAAAAGCTCAAACAGAATCAGGCTTGCATAGCAATGCAACAACAAGTTAAAGAATATATTTACAGGAAACAAAATCCCCTTTTCCTCAAGGGCAGTTACCAGAAAATTTGTTCTCTTATAGATGTTTTGATTTTTTTCTTTTTTAACTTGCCTTTTTCTAACAAAAAGAAAATTGGAGTAAGGTAGGAGGTGGAAAATATTTTCTTGAGGACAAAAAACATAGTAAGATGTACAGTATGTCTGTGTCTATACATCGCATTTACAGTTCTGTGACACTGTTTTTCTCCGTAGTTCTCATTGCTGCACTGCTTCCCTCTGAGAACACACAGGTAAGGACAAAGTTCACTACCCCGGCAAAGAGGGTGTCACTCTTCCAAAGAGAGAACAGGTTCTCTCCAGTTTAAACTGCAGGCAGATCACTCTGTGAGAAGAGGAATAAAAGAAAACATTAGGATTGGGGAAAAAAAGAGAAAAAAATTGTTTGCTTTAAGTAAAGAACCTAATAAACATGTTGGGAGGCATTTTTGCCAGGAATTCAAAGGAAACAGCTGGACTGACTCTTTCCCAAGTTAAAACAATAACTGCCAGTATAATAAAATCTAAGTTGAATCCATCGACTTACACAAACACTGACAAGCTTTTGCAGAAAATATATACTGAAACAGCCAGACACACTTAACACAGGAAGTGTGCACAAGTAGGGTGGATAAACTGTTGTTTGGCAAGATGCAGTTATAGTAATTTTATGGTAAGCATTGCTGCACTACAAAACTTGCCCTTTTTTACTGCAGTATATGTGCCGTGCCATATACCATAAAACACTGCTGTCAAACATCAAAGTACTAAATTACTCACATAACTCTCCTGAGTACTGTCCTTGTCCGTTGGTCCCCAGAAATTCAGCATGCTCTGTGGCGGTCCACTGCTGTGGTTGTCGTGGACCCTCAGTCTTGCGTGGCCCTGTTGAGCCCTTGGAGGAGCCTGTGCCAGAACTGTGGCCACCAGGGGAAGGGAACGATGGTTTACTATATGGCAAACACCCCTCTTCTAAAAACACACACATAGGAACCGAGAGGCATACTTTAAGTTTGAACTTTTATTATTGCAGTGTTACACATCTTGCATCTGATGCATGGAGACAAAGAACACTTTGCAACCACCACCCCACACTCTTGACATCTGCAGAGTGGCCGTGCCAACGAGCAATGCCAGGGCGTGCCACGGAGAGGACTCTCAGCTTCGCACATGGCCTTGCAGCCACCACCCTTACGATGAGGGTAAATACAATAACAGGGGGACTACTGGCTGCTGTGGCACCTCCTGCTGCAGGGCAACATAACATTGACCCTCAGTAGTCTCCATCATTGCGTGAAATCTCATCAAACTGCTCCCCACTGCTCTGCTAATGACTGTAATATAGCCTTCCCTGACCTCACTGGAGCCTACTGCATATCAGTCAGTGCACTGAAACATGAGGGAATTCACCTACAGTGTTTTTCGTAAAAATGCTGATTGTGACACCTGTCTTTGTCTCACAGCCTCAGATTAACTGTCTGAGAAACTCCTGGCACAAAGAGTCCAAGGAGCGCAGCATGAAGAGCTCTAACGGTCACAAACAAACAGGCGTGTGCACACATAAGATTAATGAACACACACACAGATGGAGTGTAGAGAGCTGCTGTTTGTGTGAGAAGAGAAAGCTAAAGCGATTAGAGTGCATTTCAGTTGCTGGGGCCTCCTGCCTTACTTGGAGTGGAGCAGGCTGGTACTGGCAACAGTTACAGGGGCATTACGGTGGCTGAGGGAGGGCTGAGGGGGGGCATTCTGGAAACCAGAGCAAGTGGCAGACAGTGCAATCTGTTCATGGGAGCCCAGTCTCAAAGCAGCATGACTAACTTCAACACAATCACTTAGAGAAAAATCCCCAACCGCAAAGGCACAGCAGCAGCTAAACTCCTGTGTTATTGTTGTTTTCTGGCCATAATGAAAGGAATTATCTTTGTATTAAAATAAATAGTTCAGTCATTAACAAGAAATATTCCACTTCCCTTTTGACTTCACTTGCTTTGAAAATAATGTTATTTTTCTTGCTAATGAATGGTTTTATGTGAGTATAATTATTTTATAGATTTTGTTTTAGGTTGCAAAGTGCATTTTTTAACAAATAAAAAGGATGAATTGTTTATGTGAGCAAAATGTAATGTGCTTTCCTGAACAACAGCAGCAAGACAAACATTTCCAATTGGTTATTACATTAATTCATAAAAAAAACTTTAAGTCCTAACAACCACATGGAAAGCCTCACCTGACTTTCAGCCTAATGCTTTTGCAATTGTTGTAACCCATTAGCGCACACATTGTTGCATACTATGCTTTAAAGTGAAATTTTATCTCTGTGTTAGCCTTAATGCATTAATGCCAGTTCCCGTTTTATGGCTAAATATTTTCATCTGCACCTGTTTTGTGGCCCCTGCGGCCATCATCAGCTCGGTCTGCAGAGCCCAGCCTGTCTTGAACCTGGCGATGATGTTCCAAAGAAGTGCGCGTCTGTCTGTCAATAGAGCTCTTCATGTCTTCTGGCCCACACAGGGATCCTGAAATAGGCGGGCGTTCTAAGGAAGAAGCCTTCCTATCTGTTGGGGGCGCCATGCTGTTTATACTGCGGCCCCCCTGGATACGGCCCTGCCCCTGACAGGGAGGAGGCTCAGGTGGAGGAGGTAGGTCTGTGCCAAGAGAAAACCACACTAAATCAACTGAATACATGAGTTATGTATATATTACCATAACCCCTTTTTTTTAATTTTCAAAATGTGTTTTTGGTTGCTTCCTCCCTCACCGTCTGCACCAGCATCTCTCCGATGGGGTGTTGTGCCCTGACTTCTGGGTTTGCGAGTTGGCCTAGTGGCCCTCTGGTGGCCCAAGCTGTGTGTGCCGACTGTGCTGCCATCTGTTGAAAATGGACTGCTGGGCCGAGGCCTATGGGACAAGCCTTTACCTGCAGGAGGGATAAAGGACCACAGGCCAGATGGTTAGTAAAGATATTACGGAGCCAACAGTGAAGTCAAAACAGTCATCAGGAAAAGGAAAAGTTATCAATCAAGATCCAGCAAGCCTAATAGGGGAAAAAGGTAAATGTTTTCATTAGAAGGGAGAGCATTTGGTTGAAGTCCTTAAAAGGTTTTAAGCATAGCATATCACCCAGATATTACACAATGCACCAAAGAAAGCAGAGGCAGATCAGAGCTAAGTCACATTTAAGGATCAGGAGATACCCGCAATGTAGCCATATAGAGCAGGTACCATGCACAACCTGGGCACAGCATCCAAAAGCAACAGAAAAGAAAATAACAAGGCAGCATTATGGGGAAAACATCAGCCAATGGATGACAGGAGGAACAATTAGAACAGAGATGAAAAGATAATTTGTCAGTGGCAGACGGTCCAGCCCAGCAATGGATATCTGGTCCCACACACCAACCTCTCTTGCTGAGGCTAGTGCCCTCAAGGCGATAGCCTGCCTTGTCTGCAGCAGCCACCAGGGCCTGGGCAAAACTGCAGTGGGTAAAAATCGAGCCATCAGATGAACTGCCCAGACTGGACCTATGGCTGGAGAAATTACGGTCATCTTCTGAGGCCGAGCCCCACCCATTCACCATGGACCCTGTAGAACACCATAGGTTTCAGCATAGATGTTTGTGTGTGTTTATGTGAGTATGTGTGTAAATGGATAGTTATTTATCTGAAACACTCACGCTGAAATCCCAAGCTCATACAGATTCAACAGCTATAGCCTCTATGGATATATGAGCTCACATTCTGAACATCTGTGCTTTGATTAGACATTTAGATGAATAAACTTATTGAGTGGTCTTAAAAAAAAGAAGCAATATGAATATTGTACACTTAAATGAATTAAATTTGCTGTGGGGCATTTCTGTTCTTGCAGGTGAGCGCTTTGTATAGTCATTCTGTTCTGGCATGCCCTCTTTCATCTATTATAAACACACACATTGCATACACACACACAAAAGTGCACATTTACACACACCAGAATATACACAGTGGAACAGCAGGACTGTCATCAACTTATTTTGCACGTCTTTTGATAAAGAACAATGAGCGCACCTGTGCAGAGCAGAGTTAGCTACACGACTGCCTCAGGTGACATCTCACAAAACATCGTATTGAATCAAACACCTGGAGGTATGCGCACAGTTTTTTTTTAGTCCCGTTTAAAAATGCACAACCATCGCTGTCTAAAAATGTGCAGTAGTTTTAAAAAAACTACAGGTTTTAACTTCTATGTGCACAGCACTTTAATGATTTAAAATTCTATGAGCATTAATCAATATACTGCTCAATAAGCTACAACAACACAAGCGAGTATTTTTACAGGATCAAAGGGGCACAAATAAATAAAATGTGTATATATTGTCAGGCTTTTGGCTTATATGCTACTATATTTCTTTATGCCTTCATTTTTCTTCCTTCGCATAAAAAGCTAGGCCAGCACTTTAAATATAAAAGCATCACTCTGCCAATAAAAATATGCCATTTTGGCAAGCAAAAACACAGAGAACAGTCGGCTAATGTGACAGCTTTCAGTGGGACTGGTTTGGCAGTCTTTGCTAAAGTGGCATAAACCCAAGCACTCAGCTCACACACACTATCCTTCCCTCACACAGAGCGATGTGATTGGACAAACTGGTGTAACACAGAATTGGGGAGATGTGAGGCTAAAGGTTGTTTAGAGAACGGTGGGGACAAAAGTTAGCAGCAGGATTCATTAAAAGGTCAGGATAATACAAAGGGTAGCAGATTCTTGGCCCAGGACTGCTGCATATTGCAGGCTGTGATTCAAATGAACACAACTAACACATGAGTGTGCTCTCTCAGATGGCACTTCCCTTTGCAACACAATAGAGCACATTAACAATTGGACATAAAACTTGTTAATATCACTGTGGTTTATTTTACCAGACACACTGGGAAATCCCCTTCAAAGGCTTCTCCAACTTCCCCATCTGTGAGTCTCTTTGTCTGTAACCAGATGTCTCAAAGAGACTGTAACTTAGTCACTGGTTGTGACTTTATGGAATTGCACTTTCAACAGAAGAGATTGCAACATCTTTTCACTCCTATTGCAGGGAAATTCTCTCAGATTAATGGAAACTTCTATAAAATATAGGCTTGCATAAGGTAGAGTACCCCCTTACACATCCCATTTTCACAGAGCAAACTGAAATTGAAGGCAACTAGTTTGAGCCCTCCATCTTTCCTGGCCATTTTCTTTGAAATTCTTTTCTAAGAGTTTTTCCACTAAGAAAGAAAGACAGCAATTCCACTGGGTCCAATCCTCCCACAAAGAATAGAGCAGATAATGAAGTATAGGCAGTGCCAGCCAAAGCACTGAAGCTTCCAAGTCCTTTCGGCTCAGCGAAGGAACACTGCCTCAGCAAATCACATCACAGAATGACTTTTCAGTTGCTCTAACTGCCACTTTCTACTGCAGAACCTCTGGAGCACTTCTATTCTCAGAAACAGCAATCCAATCAAACTGTGATCATTCTAACATAATTTGATAAAAATTCAATCTAGTTTTCTTTTTGCCCTAGAAATATAACTTTTTTTTGGCTCCAGACCAAGGTTTGCTCTACATATCTGCCATTTTATCACATCTTGAACAAGAGCAATGGGCCAAACTGTCTTCTCGAAAAAACGCTGGCCGACACCCTCCATGTTCCATGCACTGATAGAGCAAGACCAGTAAACGCTAGGCGGATGGAGGGCAGTAAAACCCAGGCTGCCTCCCTCCTGCCACTAAAACTGATTTACACTGACGGGAACCCTAATCTGCATGTCGTTAAGTAGGAAAATCATTCCCCCTGATGAGCAGGCGTCTACCTGCCACCAGGAGATCTGACCCCACACCTCGCAAACCTGGCAAGACTTTATGGGTGAGTAATCGCCCAGAACAGCCAAGCTTTCAAGTCATTGTACGCATAACAGCTTCACTGCCACCACATCTTAGCTGTGCATGACCTATATAGAGCCAAGTAATACCTACGTGTTCACCTCAACTCTGTAGCTCGTGCAAGCAATCGCTCTGCAATACCACCACAACAGGAGGAGTTACATTTATCAGCTAAAAATAAGTTGCCTTAACTCAGAGCATGGAATAACGCATTGGAAAACCTGTGCAGACAGTCCGCTGGTGAAAAATGCCCCTGAGGAGAGTGCAGGTTCTTTTCTTCTTTTTTTTTCTGGAACATCACTGAAAAGTTAGATTTACTGGCCTTTGGTGTAACATTATGAAAACAGACCTATTTCCATATTATTAAAACAATGACAAATCCATCAAGCGACGCTTGACAGCAATCTCACTCCTGCCCCTCCCCTGTTTGTGTAGCCTTAAAACGGTGGCTACAATAAATCTCAGCAGCGTCTCCCCTTTTCCCTCTCTTCCTCCTGCTCACCCCGGAGCTGGGGCCGTGTCTGTGTTGTCAAACGATGGGGTGAGAGGCAGACTTGGAGAGAGATAAAAAGAAATAGTGCTGTCTTCAGAGTAATACAGTGGAGGAGAGATGCAGCAGATTAGGGCCCCGTTGCCGCTTTATATTCCTCTAAATACATCAGCAGCAGCATGTGTCAGTGCTACCAAAACCACTGTTCCATCATCCCCTGGAAAACCACTCTTTAATGTTTCTACTGACAGGGTAGGCCAATATACAGCACTGTTTGTCTTCTTATTTTTGAGCTTTCTCTCTCAGATAGCCCAGCTCCTTCGATTTTTTGCTCTCTTCCTTATTCTTACCACCCATAAATGTCTCAATATAGCCTTTATTTTTCAGCGTTTACACACATAACCTGATGGATACACAGTATCACAGGTCAACACTAAACTAGAATTTTCTACCAAACCTATTCCCCATATGTCACTTTTATCATAAAAGTCCATTTTTGCACTTTTACCCCTTTACATTGCAGATGGATAGTCAGGCCTGGTCAGTATGATAGCAGCAATCCAGAACCCAGCTCCTCCACTGCAATGTCATGCCCTTCATATGTCCCCTCAACAGACGGCTGTAAAAGTTTTCAGTGAGTTGTAAAAATGGAAATGGTGCCTCTAGTCTGGAATGGAATATGCCGCACGTGAAATTTATTTCAAATCTCCTCGGGAAGATACGGTTGGCTCTGGCTCTGGAGCTGTGTGCAAGTTAAATCACAGTCACTCTCCCCTACCCTCTCCCTCCTCTTAATTTCCCTCTCACTATCCTGTTTAAAATTCATGGACTTTCTTATCTGTTTTCTTTTTTGAAAATGATAATTGTAATTCCCCAGAGCCTGCCAAAGGTGCTTAAAAAACTTGATTGAGGGCCAAAAATTAACACACCAAAGTCATGAAGAACGTGTTATGAACAACAATCCATTTGCCGTTAAACAAGATGTAACAACGATGGGAGTTGAATGCATTTTACCTGCTTATGGACATTTGAATAAAAAGAAACAAATCCCATTTACTTATGCATTAAAATAAATTATACTGCGGTTAACAACATTAGGTTAAAGCCCCGCCGGCTCCAGATACAAATCCAACAGCCTTACCTGTTAAAGAGCTGTCCAGGTTGTCCATGCTAGACCCTGGTGTGTGCTCAATTCCGCGGGGATGCCTGGCTCCATAGCCTTCATCCTCCTCCTCATCTTCCTCCTCCTCCTCCTCCTCATCAGGCAGGTCAGTCTCCAGGTCGGAAACCATTGTGCTCGACACGTAGCCCACTGGAGGAGCTGGAGCCTGGGGAGGAAGAGAGCCTCCCTGCATGTGCCTGGTAAAAAAAATTAAAATAAATAAATACTCCATATAATCTGATATTGGGGAATGTGGAGCGGTGATGACTATCGAACGTATAACATGTGGTTGCATGTGGAAATGTAGAGCTAATTACAGAGACCTGTATTATGTGGGCCGCTGAATAAATATGGACAATTTCACTAATTCCACAGTGCAGCTTGTATGCTAACACAATGACCTACTAATTGCTGCTGTGGATGGTATAAAGGGATGCTCTCCAGGCCTGTCGACACATGGCTGTCACCTCAGTGGCAGCCTGCTCTGCTGACAGTCACGTTTGTTAGAGGAGTGCAAAGTCTTTGACGCGGTTTGCAGTGGGAATTGGTTGTAATTACTGGCCCTCTGGTGTTGTCAGAGATGCTCTCTAACCAACAGAGTCATTACCGGGTAACATGACATCTCCTTCCTGACAAGGCTTCCCAGCTCTCCCACAACCACCCACTTCACTATTATGAATGAATGCCAGTCTCTCATTCTCTGCGCGTTGCTGACAGAATGAAGCATGGTCTTCATCTGACTTGCATGAGCACAACAATGGAATGCACCGTACAAGTGTAGGGGGAGTAAACAACCATGGGTACGAAATTGTGTCTCTTAGAGTGAGCAAAATACAGTAGTCGCCTAAGTGGTAGCATGGGCCCATTAAAATGGAATGATTAATGGGTTTATCTCTGCTGCACACACAGTTGACATGAGGAATACTGCAGGAACAGAATAAATCCTGGAAGCAATAAACAGGAACACAATGTACAGTAAGCACTGTGAAATAAAAACAATGCATGTACGACTACAACAGTATATCTGTCTAGATAAATAGATTGATAGGACTGCAGTATCTAATTTAAATATTTACAATGCTTTTTAATGCTGCTGTGTTTACCATGTTTGTTTTGCCATGTCCAGTTGGTACGCTCTGGTCAGCTCATCCAAATGGGCCTGGAGCATGGGCTGCATCTCATCTCGGGGAGAGGGGGTCAGGGTGGCTGTGGACTGCTGTCCAAAGGACACAGCAGCGGGGGATGAGGCGACCCCCCGGATAGGCGGGGTGGGAACCCTTTCTTCCTCTTCCTCCAGCTCATCCTCCATGCCCTGGTGGAGATATGTCTGCACAGGCATGGGCGGTCCCCAACCATCGCTCTCATACCTGAGGGAAAATGCATGTTTACCACACAAATGTAGTTAAGGTTACATATAGCCTGAGCAAGAGCTATAAGCTGTTATTTTTGTTACTGATTAATATCGACTTATTTTTACTATTTAGTATTTTCCCAATTATCAACCAACGAGTTTATCTGAAAATACCAGAAGCATTTGATGGACTTAAAAAATAAGGAGCTTGGAGGTTTAATCACCACAACCGAAAATGATAATCTACTAATTTAATTTAGCACAGCTTGCTGATTTTAAAGCTATGCATGTTTTATAGAAATCAAACTGGAAAGTATGGACAGACATAGTAATGGCATTACTGTAGATGTGTGATATTGTCAGTGTCTGCAAGTAAAAGACGATTGAGAAAAGTAGATAGCATAAAAAAATATGTCAAAAGAAACTGATTTGTGCTAACACAGTTTTGTGACCTTCTCCAACTTTCATTGGACAGCAATTTGTTATACAACAGTCCTGATTAGAATTACAGTTGGTGTCAAGCTTCAATTCCTCATAGCTGTGCTTATACATGCTGAAATAATACTAGCCATAAAGAAGGTGTTCATTATAGAAATTTGTCAGGGCACACTCCATAGGACATAACTGTTTTAATCTGCTGCCATTAAGAGCAGCCTCAGATTTACAGTGCATGAGACTCTTCATTTGCCAGATAGCCTATTAAAGCAGATGACTCTCCCAGATTGGAAATGGGAGTAAGAGGACATGGTGCCAACTGGACCAAAGAGAGACACTCTCACAATCACTTACACAAGTTACTGTTAGTTCACACTTAAAGTACAGTGTTGATTTACTGCATTTACCACACAAAATCCATTTCCATCCATGTTTACCAGGTAAACTATCACATTCACCCCCACAGCTAATGTAGAATCCCCAATTAACCTAACAACTATCTCTTTGGACCGTGGCTGGAAGCTTGATTCAAGAGGAAACTAACGCAAAAACAAGGCAACAGGCAAACTCTACAAAGAAAGGCTGTGAGGCAACAGTGCAAACCACTGCACCATTACATTAAATGAAAATTAAACAAAAAATATCAGATGTCTGGTACGGCATTAATCATTTATAAGAATCCAGCTTTTTATATCAACTTCAGCCTCAGTGTGTGTGGATAACATAAATCTATCTTTACAAAACAGGACTATTAGGAGGGTTTTTTTCCCCACTATGGAATTCATCAGCGAGATTAAGCCAAAGCTACCCGTATGTCTACAAACTCACAAAGACAGACATGTTTTATTTTCATTTATTTTATAGACAGAATAACGGGTCAGCAGATAGTTTGATTGGCACCCATCTGTATGTGGGTTTTTGTGTAAGAGCCCTGTGCAAAAGAGCACGTGTGCTGCCTGTAGAGACTATACACGCATTGATTCTTTGCTTCTCGTCAGATTTGCAGTACTAAGTCAATAAACTCAGTGAGGTACAGTCAGATGACATTAATGCAGAATGCAACCAGATTTAGTGTGTTGCTTATACAAGAAGTTGTTGGACATCATCTATATCGTTTTGCTTTCTGTGATCATTTCTTTTGTACTGCCATTTTTATTTTGTGTGTAGCTAGCTGCCCACAAAACACACAAAATATTACTTGGAACAGGTTTATTTTTCTCCCTCTTGCGCTTCCACATGAGCTCATGCTTCTTCTCTTCAATATCAGAATTGCCAGTTACAAAGCTTCTGTGTATGGCTTCTTAGCCTCCTAAATTTTTCCTAAAAGCCTTAACTTGGCTACAACAGATTTTCAATGACAGTGGACACAATATTTTTAAACAAATTCTTGACAGCATGACTTGTATTTGAGCTGACTTTCAAAAAATAATTTAAAAGTTGTAATGTCTTAATTGTCTGGGTATAGGCAGGATTAGTAGACTAAAATAGAATGACGTATTACATTTGGTTGCTCCAAAAAACAGGAGGCCCAGTGTGAAATGGGAGGTGATCCAGAAAACAACATAATTGGGTCAAATGGGCTGTAAAAGTTAATGAAAAATAATGACAAATACAAAAAAGGAGAGCAGTTTGAAAGATTTTGTATCTGATCGTTTGGTTAAAATAAAACTTGTGATGCGCTTCATTTTCTACTGAAAACTGAGCTGTAAAGTGTGTATGTTGTTTCTATGCATTTAAATGGTTTTTCATTATCCATTCAAGATGGAATCATTTGTGTGTATTTTTTTATATTAGCAGACATACCCTCCCCCGTCGTGGTGATCATTGGGATAATGGTCCATCTCAGTACCAGGGAGAGGGTGAACAGGAGGAGGGGGCAGGGGAACGTTGGCCCAATTGGACCCATTGGCTTTAGTAGGTTTAGAGCCAGCCTTTGTTTTCTTCTTCTTTCCTCCCTTTCCACCTAGAAAAGATGAGACACAGTATGAAACTGTATGAAAACGACACTGTATACAATAACCAATTAAAAACGAATAAACAACTGGGAGAGCATTTGCCATCTGACAAATGTCTATTATAAATAAACTCAAATTATTCTAAACACACTACTTGGTTTACAAATCCATTTGGACTGTTTCAACACAGCCTTGCAAAGTCGTACACATTTTCAAACACAAGATTTCAATGCGCTCCTGCCTATCAGCGCTTCCATAGAAAACCTCAAGGTTGCCTGATGAAAAGCATGCTTTCATTGATTGATTGGCTGAAAAGCCTCAAATCTCCATAGAAACAGAAGAGAACTGCAGTAAACGAGGCTGAGGCAGACCTTTGTGCTCCACCCATCCCTCAGCGTCCCCTTTCACACCGGGCATTGGGTTCCACAATGAAATATCTCACTTCACAGCATCATCATAATGAATGGCTTGTGTAGTGTCGATGTGTCCCTAATGGAATTCACTGAGAGTCTATTACTACTTTCATTTCTTTTATTACACCGGAGAGCCGCTAACCCCATCTATTTCCACTCATATCCCTCCAACACCAGATTCTACCTGGTCCCATCCATCTTTATAAATCTGCCAGCCAGTTCAATACCAAGTTTTATATGATTTGGTGTACTTTGGAAGAAACCTTTATTTGTTTATTTTTTTTCTTTAAAAGATATTTGACTTCAAATCTTAAAAACAAATCCACCAAAAATATATCCTGGAAAAAAGATTTCCTGTTTTTTTTTATGGCTATTTGAATATTTTTTTTAATCTAGTTTCTATAATAATTTTTTATTTATATATATGTAATGTATCTTATATCTACCACTTCATAAGGGGCAATTCAACAGCTCTGCCATGAATCCTACTTTTTCAGGTTTTGCAGACACCTTTTAAGAAACATGATAATTTCACGTGTATGATATTGAGATTATAGCAGATACTAAACTGCATTATACTGTGGTTAAAGGTCTTCTGCACATTTACCCCATCATGCATATTAAATTTGCTTCATGGCCAAAACATCTTAAGATCCATGAAATGAAATTATGCTTCATGATGTTCTGTACTGTATTTTGACTTTCAGTGCTACAGTAAAAGTGGACACTGTTTTTAAATAAATGAAAATAAAAATATACTTAATAGTCACAGTAAATATGTTTTTTATAACATTATTGGTGGTTAGTATTACTTTGTATTATTCTGAGAAAAGAACATTTTAATGTCTTTTCATCTGAAGGTTCACCATGCATATGTCTGAGTTTTACAACCCTGTAGCACACAACCAATATGTGGGAATTAATATTAGTATTTGAATGTCAGATTGTGCATGGGCGAGGGGACTGGAATCTTCTGTGGATTATGTCAGGCTCTTCCTACAAGTAAACACCTTGCAATCCATAAAATAACCTCAGCCTGACATCACCACCAATACTGAAAGCTATTTTTGGGAATCTCTGCTAAACGCATTTGTTTTTGTCATCTGTTGGTTAGCCTTTGCTGCCAAAGGTCTGTAATCACTTTTTCCACTGTCCCAAAAAGCTGCCAGTATGGCATTTTATGCAATGTAACATCACGCACGCTAACGTAATGTAATGAAGTAACTTGGCTCAGACATGGTAAAAAAATATCTGTCATCAAAAGACATTTACAGAAGCAATAGAGTACATCTTGACCATCTCTTTTTATGAATACCAGACAGCAGGAAAATCAGAAACAGTGGGCAGTTTGTTTTTAATCCAAAAAGTATAGATTTTTCTGCTATTAAGACTTACCTGCAAGAATGACAAAAACACTTTAATGAAAGGTGAGCATGGTTAAAAAAAAAAAAAACCCAAAACAAGTAATAATACTGGCACTAGAGAGAAAAAATTAAAAATGAGAATATGGAAGAAGTGTCAGAATATGATTAATAAAGAATGGAAGTAATAAAAGAAACAACTGTAAGCCCAAGGCAGGTGGCAGCACAGTGTAAGTATAGTCTGAAAGTAATTGGGTTTCCTAATCGTACCTCTGGGCAACGCTTGACTTTTACCAATAAATGGTGAGCTGACGTGATTGTTCAGTCATCCTTAGTCCCTCTACACAAGACCAGCCATCAATATTGTAAATGAGCCTCTTCCAGGGAAGGATGGTCTGGTGCTGGAATTGCAACAGCTCAACCCAAATATGAAAAATATAGAGAGAAGCTGTGGCTAGGAGCTATACAAGAATTACACAGCGCACTCATCTCCTCTGACAAAACTGGGCCTCCCTTCAAAGGGGAAGTGATTCTAAATATAGATGGAGCTTTGGGTATTTATACCCAGGGTTTGGGCACTCCCATTCTATAACTGTAGGGCTGCATAGCCTTGAGCTTGCTTTGTTTTCATTGGGTGCCTTAGTGCTGAGGGGAAAAGCCACAGAGAGACTTGAGAAAGACTATACAGCCAAATACAACTCATGAGTGGGGAAAATATATAACTGAAAGTCTTGTATCATCATATTTAGTTTAGGTTAAAAAGAAATAAGGCAACATGTTACATAGTGAATGGAGATGCAACAACAGAGAGTTCAGGAGCACAACAGGTAACGCACAACCATGAACTTCACATAATCACAGACTTTGCAGCTTCACAGGATGGGTGAGAGTGTAGGAAGAGAACAAGGTGTCTTTGGGGTCTCTAACTACTACAGAAAACACCAGTTACCTCCTCTCCCCTACACTAAGAAAGGTTTTAATGAGCAGCTTCATGTCCCAGTGGAGATCCATGCTGTCATGAAAGCTGCTCTATTTCGGTTTCTTTTTATCCCGCTCTCTCCTCCTTCAGACCTGACATTCATTATTCCTTCCATGTCCTTAGAGAGAGAGCAAAGCACAGAAACTCCAGCAGCCCCCCTCCCCTCATATGTTGAGTTTACTTTGGTTGAAGTCTGAATCAAAGCTTAGCATGTGCTGGTTCAAAATATCATTAAGTTTCACCTCACAGAATATCTGTTATTGATCAATTCACTTTTAAAGCATCATTAATATCAGTAAGCATGATTATTTCACTGCACATTATATTGCGTATATACTAGACAATATTAAAAAAGAGACATCTATTTAAAAATAACTGAAAGATTCTTAATGAGGAGAATTCTTAAAACATTTTTGTTTTAAATAATCCACATATAGTTACACCTCTGCCATCTTTTTGACTTAATTCTTAATGTTTTAATTATTTGTATTTACTTTCAAGTCATCGGATAGAAGTAGAAATGATTTGGATATCTGTCTGCTATTGTCTTCAGACTTAACCTCTGCTCTTTCAGGACTTCTGGTCTAGCCAGTGGATATCTTAGCCAAGTCTTCCTGTTCAAACTGCTGGCCATCGTTTACTAATTTAGATACCATTAAAAAGCTGATAAAGAAAAAACACAGTTTACATAGGAGCTGATGGTTTAAAATTATGTTTTGGGGAATGCACTCTTTTTCTTTTTTGTACTTCCTTCTCAAATGAGGACATATTGGTCACAGAATACAAACAGACTTCAAGTGGAAACCAGAAAGCTTCTTGCCCCTTGCCCACAGACTCTGCGCATTAATATGCAAATATTTGCTGAGATTAGGTAAACAGATTATCTAAATCTGTCTACCGTAACTGTAAACATATGCCAGGAGACAATAGCTTGCCTAGAGTAAAGAAAGCTCTGAATATATGAGAAAATCTGTCTATTAGCATATGGAAAGTTAATTATTTGACACAATATTTTCCGTTTCTTTAATAGGTTGAAAAACTGAAAAAGAACAACAGGTTGTGGTTTAATGAGTGACTAATTGCTGTGTGGATTTTATTACTTTGCATCAATCTTCTCATCTACATCTAGATATATTTCCCGAAATGATTGCAAAATGTTGCTTTAAAGCATATTTGCACAATCTGTTTGTTTAGTGTAAGCAGAAATTTATGCGTTTAATTACTTCTTTTCATCTTATGAAATTATACTAGTATGTGGCAAGCCCAAACAGGGACATAAGTCACCTGTGGTTCTATAGGAGGAATTTGCCTGTAAGGCATGACCATTTCACATCCTTCTCTTCAACCCACAGTGTGCCTCAGCATTGAATTAGAGACCAGTTAAAGCAGTGGCTTGAAACTAGATAAAAGAGGAGAGTGGAAGGGAGACAGTCAGAGGGATGCCCTGGTGTCCTATAAATGACATTGTAATTCTCTGAACATGGGTTTTAGTGTAGTTGGCCACCATTAGAGGAAGAGGGAAAAAGGGAGGTATTTTTGCCACTTTACCCAGCCAAGCATCTCTAATGGTGTCTGTGTGTGTATATAGTCCACTCTGTCTGAAAGACTCCCTTTGCCCCTACTCCCGTCTGCTCACTCACACAGTGAGAGACAAAGCCTTCCCAAAGACCAGCAGTAATGGCATGAACCCAGCCTTAGCAATTGCAGCCGTAATTTGTCAGTTGATTATATTGCTGTTCTTTCTTTTGACTTAAGTTTCCTATTTCATTATGCTTTGAAAGACTTTTCAACTCACATCCATCTTTACATTCAGCAGTAGTTGCGCTCAGAACCCCACATAACAAAAATAACACCATACCATTCATATGTGATCAATTAGAAGCAGGGAGAGCTGTGTGAGCCAAGTATCACTGGTGATGGTGAGGGAATTGTGTTATTAAGAATGTTTTGGATATAAAGTTTGTACATGCAAATAACAAATAAATAAAGCAATTAAGACATCAGTCGATCATAAAGTTGGCTGGGGAGCAGCGTGTCCCAGTCTGCTTAATTCTCTGCTGCGTAAACCAACCTGAGAGACTGCCGCTTCGCTCTGAGCTGTTGTGAGAGCTGGTGGTGCTGAAATCTTGTGATTGGTTGTGTGGTATTCTATTAGACAATCCTTCGGCCAATCGGTAGTCAGGAATGAATAGGAGGGCTACAGTGGGGGTTAAAGGGCAAAAATCACAGTGGCATCAGGTGATTGGCAGTTAGCACAAGCACATGCAAACATGCAGTTAGAGCATCAAGCAAGCAGGATAAAATCAGGACTCATATGTTCAAAAAGCTGAATTATTTAACACTATTTGATTCGTATGCAACAGACCAATCTGATTTGTTGTTGATTTGATAAACACCAAGCTAAGCTTTCACAATACTGATGAATGACTCAGTGGTAGAGATTTTTTTTCACTATTTGTCCTGCTTCAGAGAGGTATAATCACACATAATCATGTTTGAGCATACTTCTTGAAATAATTTTAGGGAGAATTACAAAACATTTTGAAAGAGTCACTGCAATGTGTAAAAACTATAATTAATCTATTTTAGACTGTTGGAAAATCACCAGATCATAAATACGTATTAGAATAAGGCCAAAGAACTCTCATTACGTTTAAACTATCAAACTCCATTCGGCCTTGAAAAATCCTGCATCAAATCCAATTAATTTGGATTATTTTCTTAAATATTAGTCAAGCTAAAATGGATTGCCAATTACTTTGAAACTGAAGAAGCTGTGGTACCGTCAAGAAAACTCAGCGGGTAAATAGATGGATCGCTTAAGTGCAGTATTCCTTTGTGAGATGTTTATTCAGCCTTGGAGAAAAACCAAGATGATGTCTGCTGAGGTAGAAACCGCTCTTTTTAAGACAACCTCTTCCCACCACAGTGGCGCAACAAAGACCTCCACGACTTTTGAGGGAAAAGTTTCAATACCAACAGGCTGTCTTGTTACAACTGTAAACCTGTGGCTTGTAATCTGGCTTTCAGTTTAATGTCACTGGAACAATAGCTCTGGCTGACATATTATCATACTCTATAAAAAAAAAAAACCAACACAAACAAACAAACAAAAAAAACCTTGGTGAGCCTCCCACATACACACAAATCCCTACAGACTGCATTTACTTTTGCAACTTACTGTTGTTGCAGGAGTTTTTGTCGGGCAGGGAGTAGCCCAGGTTGGCCATCTCCTGCTTGGCCTGCAACGAGGCCTTCCACTGGGCCTCAGGCAGGTCCACAGCCAGCTCATGGATGCTGCTGGAGTGGAGAATCTGAGTGGTAGCATAGGGAGTGGCCTGGGATGTTTGGCCAGGGCTGTTGTAGTTGGTTTTTGTGGTAAAGTCTATACTGCTGTAGATGGCTCCGTCCGAGAGCATGGTGCCCGTCTTATCCCCTTGTCCAGTGGGGAGATCTGGGTAAGAGTATGGAGAGATTACATGAAAGGCTTCCTTTTAAAAAATGCCCACCTCACCTGTAGCTCTGCATTACTGACAAAAGAAAATGGAAAAAAAGCGAAAATGTTGCAATATCTATGGTATATCTTGCCATCAGTTGCACATTTTAACAAATATATTTGTTGAAAATAAATTCTACTGTAGCATTATGACATTCCTGTTCTCCTTCCACATATCTTCTGGATATCTCACTAGGTTCCCTATGTGTTCCTACACATTAGGCATAATGTTGCTGCTCTGCATGTGTGTGTACTAACAGAGTCAAAGAGGGAGAGCTAGGAGGAGAGCAGGCAGCTTCTCTCTCCGTAGTGCATGGTTTGCATGCCCAGTGAAGGGGAGATGATGTAAAGCCATGGCGGAAGTGTCCGCATCTGCGCCAGTCAAGCTGTGCCTGTCCTTCACGACTGGCTGCTCAACACCATCCTTTCAAACAGCCATCCACCCCCTGCTCCTCTGCCCGTCTCTCCTCTCTCATTCGCTTGCTCTGAGGTATGGGCTTTGACACCAGGCTGGACTATATGCCATCACTCAGCGTGGTGACAGTGAAGCCCCTGCTGTTAATGCTGTAGCTGTCCTCTGGTGTGATAAATATATATCCAGACACAAATGTAATGTACATGCATGTATACATCCTGAATGCATATATGTGCGTCACAGAGGGAGGCAGAGCAGTCATCTTTCATCTCTCATGGTCTTTTTTCTCAAAGCAAGTGGGAAAGCACCGGGGCGCTCACCTCCTCGACCAAAGTTACTCAGGTCATTTGGTCCCCCGGAGCTGCTGTTGACAGGCAGGCTGGTTGCTGGCCAAGAGTCTGCTAACCAGGGGTAGCCTGGATCACTGGCATTTAGCAAGCCTGGGCGGCTAAGCGGAAACAAAGGATCAAAGAACAGATTAGATACAGGCCATAAAACTATATTACTACAAAAGGTTTGTTTTGTTTTGGTTTTTTTCATACAAGATTATCCCCAATTACACATTATACCCTGTTTAATTCTTTATTATGTTACTGGAACACACACATACAGAAAATATGACAGCAATCAACAGCAAGAAGTTGTGAAGACATCAAAAAAATTAAAACAAATGTTACTGTCCACACGCATGTGTGTTTGTGGGAGATAAGTTTTCCATAAACCTCTGAAGCTGATGAAACAAGTCTTCAGTATGGGGGGGAAACGCTATATAGATACATTTCTTCTCCCGCAAAGTTGGAATTCCTCCAGGCCCTTTAATTTCTGTTCCTGCTGAGCTTTTGTCACATTTTCCGAGTTATTAATGCAAAAGCACACCGTGGGCAGACTAATGCATGCATTTGCGCTTTGCATAAAAGTGCAGCAGTACATGCTGACACCCACATGTATATATTTCCTAATTCATTAATATCTTGCCCCTTCTGCTGTGTTTTCCCATCAACCCCTTGTGGTGACGTCCAGACAGTCTAAATCTTATTTGATAGGGAGTGAGACCTCGGTCCTGGAACCGGCTTGTGGGATGTCTGTCTAAGGGAGAGGGCAGGTCCATTTAACAGGTGTTGTGTCCCTCTTGAGGTGTAAGAGCTATAAAAGCAGTCATCACGACTTTAACCTGTCATGGGTGACTGCTGGGAGGCCATTAGGGCCACTTTACTGTACAATCACGTCTAAGGCTCGTTACCATGAGGAACACAGATGGAGTAAAATGAGAATGAAAGATGCCGTTAAATGCCTTTGTTTTCAATTCACTGCCACACCACTTGCCACTTGTGAAGCTGATTAAAATGCAAAACAAAATTTCTAACTGCGTAATCACTAGTGTACCTCGTTAGACAAATGATCCTCAGCCGGTATATTTAGCGTATACTGCAGACCCCTCAGTTAGCAGCAGACTGCAGATATGTGTGCACTCTGAGAAGCTGTATAACACAGTAGTTACCAGTCAAGCTGCCTGATGGGATTTTTTTTTGCCTTAGCTCCAGAGGGGTGATGTGTTGGCTCTCAGGGAGTCAGGCCCTGAGGACAAGGGCAGGTAATGGCATTGCTGCAGTCACTCTCTCCTAAGCCACAAGTTCTAATGAGGAGACACCGATTCCACAGTGGGGGGAGTCCAAATGAACTGCAGCCCTGGCAAGCTAAGAGCCCTCGTTGTGGTTCCTGAATGCCAAAACAGGCCCTCGGGGGAGACAAGTCATTCAAATTGATGGCTGTGCATCAGACACATGCACTTTTATAGGGTAATACATCTTCCAAGCCATCTCGTCCTTCTACCTCTGTTTCTGGCTGTCTTGTTACTCCATTGCCATTATTTTCTCTCGCCACACTCTCTTTCTCTAACCTTATTTTTCACCTGTTTTGGGGCAAAACTACAAACAGCTGAAAAAGAAGAGACATTGTTCATTTTGTTGACTCCAGCAATAGCACAGAAATGCATGCAGCTATAGGCTTGTGCTCCAGCATGTCCTCCCCCAGCCCACTTGAGGAAGACCATTTGAAAGACAAGGAGCTGACAGAGGAAATGGCTGCATCGTCCTTGTATTCATCACAAAGCAGCATTTCTTCTAAGGATAATTAGAATAAGACTGATTTCTGCCACAGACTCGCTATATGTGTTTGTGTGTGCATGTGTGTATTCCAATGGTGGGGTAATGGAGAAGGGCTGGAGGACAGACACAGGGTCATACGTTTAATGAAAAGTTGACACCTAACTCTTAATCCATGCCTATCCTAGAATGGATAGCAACCTTGGCAGAAGAAATTTGATTTGGAGCATTTCTTCTTCTTGTTAGATATTTCAGTTACTTGTGATGAGGAGGAAGGAAACCATAAATACTGCCTAAGATGCCTGACACGGAGCTTCCCATAAATAAGCCAAGTGAGAGAGATTAATTCCAAAGCAACTTCATAAATCAAGCGTTTATGGTCCCACAGACAAGTGAATAGAACTTGGATTAAAAGTCTAGACATTAGCTAACACTTAGCACAAGGGGAAACACAGATTACTTTCTAGATTAAGTCTGAAAGAACATGTTGTCATTTAGTATTCTGGGATGTAAAGGAATCTCCATAGCAACAGTATCAGTGAAACCTGTTCACTGCGGTGCTCATCCCATGCTCCCTGCCGATCTGAGTAAATCTGCTGTGCTAAAATATTGATCAGCGCCGAGATAGGAAGTTATTACTACCTTCTAATTACCATCTCCTTATTGGCAGGGGGATAAGAAATGAACCCTTATCAGCTTTTATCAATTTCAGCTGAGCAGCCAAAGTCAAATGGTCCAGGTCTACCAATCTGCAGCCTATTCATCTTCCATGAATCATTTATTTTGTGATCGATTAAGTGTAATTGTTCAGTCAGAGCAATTTGGCAGGAGCCAATGAGAAACTAGAAACAGACGTGGTTTAATTTGCTATTGTCTAATTAATGCAATAAACATCTCAGGCAACACATGAACACTTTTTCCCCAAGATATTCTGTTCCACATTTTCACTCTCAGGGCAGATGGGGAAGTAGCAACATCTGGGATTTGATGACAATAGAGTGACTAATGGATCAGAGGCTTGTGCTAGGGCTCCAGATTGCATCCCAGTGTTGTGAAAATTATGGAAGTCACTGCTTCTGACTAAAAATATGACAAATATAAAGCAGCAAAAATACAGACATTTCAAATCCCATTCGCTGGAGTGAGAATCAGAACCACTTATGTGGAAAATTGAAGGAAAAACACTTCAGCAGAAAGTAGATGAGAAACGGCATGGCAAGTGGCGTGGCTAATTCATTAAGAGATTGCTGGCAGCTGACAGAACAATACAAACAAAATTGTCCACAGTAGCATCCAGTTGTATGCACAGAAAATGGGAAAATTTGGAGAAAAAAAGAGCATAAATATAAAAAAAAAAATTGTTGCAAATAGACTGCAGAGCAGACACGTTCCCAAACGCCCAGATACACTCAGGGTCAAATTTAGTTGCAGACTCTCACTGAGTGTTTGAGATCTGGAGATTCTACCTAGTCAGGTGTGATAAGCAGTAGATAGACAGAAGCCTGGGATTCTCCAGGGAGACTCTTGAATACCTACAAAGGCTCTGTAACTGGTGTCATTGAGATGTGCCCTAGTCACCATAGCCCCTCTAACACAGAGTGAAATGGAGCAGGCTGTATGGGGGTGCATAAGGGGTACCTCCACACACCTCTCCCCTGGGTAATTATTTTTACATTATTACATGTGCTCAGATCCCAGCCGCCCACGCAAGGTGACAGGCAAATTTATCACTCCAGAGGGCTTCGGGGTTGCCTATAGCCAGCAGCGGAAGATAAATGACAAAATAAAAGCACTCTATGCTTAAATTGTTTCTGTTAATTCCGCTGAGGAGATTTATGAGTTCATCTACCGATGCATGAATGGAGATGTGGTTGAAATGTATATTTCTATGCGTGTTTGCATGGTAGGCACACAACAGGTATCGGTTATCAATCAATCTATTAGACATTTAGAAGTGCTGGGATCAAAAGCAGCTTGCTGAGGACTTCATGCATAACTATGGAGGAAAGGCTGAGTAAAGCCAATGACATAGGGAAGTAAATAATTATAAAGTAAAGGCTTTTTTTTTACTCGTTTTAGATGAGACTGCGCACAAATGTGTAGAATGGGTGTGAGATTCACTTTCATGCGATACTCACCTTCCATTGCTCATCAGCCCCCCATCAACTCTCTGGAATGTCACTAAAGAGAAGAAAGAAAAAGGGAAAAAAATACCAGATATTAAGTTTTTCAGGTATAACATAAAGCAAACCAGGGTTTGTTTCCATAAGAAGAAAGAAATATTGTCTTTTTAGCATTGCCCATTTTGCTCTTGTGCTTCAATAGCAATGTATTCATTTTTTTCATGCACGACATGATAGTTGATGGATTCACAAAGGGGTGCAGATGTCCGTCTGCATCCAATGTCGTTCTCTTTTTTTAACGGCTATGAAGAGGACTGCATATTGCTTTGCTTTGCATAAGTGGAGACGTCATGTGTTCCTCAAGGACAAGATGCCTGATGAGAGGGAAAACTCATTTCATTTTTTTTTTTATTTTGCTGCTGTGTTATTATCAGATTTGTGATTAAATCTCAAACCAAAAAAAAGAAAGATTAGAAATGGCAGAGGCTTCATTAATCACACAGAGTTTTCTATCTACAAGCGTAGAGGCTGAGTTGCTGATGCTTTTTGGCTGGCAGGGCTCCCCAGAAGGTATGCATGTGGCCTGTTTCATTACAGCGATCTACAGATAACAAGGGCCGCTCTTAGTCGGAGGCTGGTAAAACTGCGTGGCCGAAAGTGAGAGCCGACTGTGAAGGATCCATTTCATCTCTGTTGTGATGGCAAAGCAGCAGTGAGAGTTCTAAGCATGTAAGAACTTCAATGGATCACAGGAAACACAGAAAAGCAGCAAGAGTTTTGGAAACCACCTCATACCAATGAGGGGGGGAAATGAAAAGGGGGGGAAATAAGAGAGCTGGTTTACTTAAGAGAGCAAAGGAAAGCTGTTAGTAATTTGGCTCATTTGTTCCACAGATGGAGATTAAAGAGAGAAGAAGGCTGAACATTCCCCCTTTTTTTCTGTTTCATTCAAGTCGGTTCTACAACAAGCCTAGGCATGGGCAAAAGAGGGGGCTTTTCTGTGGGTGACGTAGTAACAGAAGACAGACAGAGGAAACTCCCACAATAGATTAGAGAGACTGCTACACTTTAATGTATCACCAACATTACCTAAGCTTACTTAATCCAATTTTTACTCTCGTAACCACAATTCCAGGCTTTCAAATGAGAGCGAGACAATTTAAATTCTGTCAAGCATGCATGTTGGAGAGTTGAACGTTTATTTACTACATTAGGGTTTAAGCAAGTGAACACCAGCAGGTGGAATTAAAATACTTTGTTTTACCCAGATAGAGCCAACATTGCAAGTCTGCTAGAATAAAATAGATCTCAGAGAGCTCAAGACAGAAACCGCAGTCTTTATTCAGTGAAATCCAAAGCCGCTTCTCTTTGTTCCCCACCACCAAACTTGCATTAAAGAATACTCAGTTGTTTGAGTGAGGACTGACAGGCGGGTGTGAGGGGGAGGCTGTGCAGCGGGGAAGGCCTCTGAAGTCCCTATCTGTGCTCGGGCACATTTCTGGGCTGCTGTGGAATACTTTTATGTTAGCCAGAGTGACATGGCGGCAGGGCTGTGCTTCTCGCCTCCGTCTTCAAGATAAGCACTTTTTTCCCCCCCAATATGAATACAGATTAATCCCCTTTAATAAGCACTGATCGTGGGTGGAGGTGGGGGTGGGAGTGGCATAATCAGCATATAAAAATTCCATCAAATCTAATTTTTGCTGGCCGCGTGCCTTAACATAGTTGTGATTTACCACTCCTGTGGAGACAGCTTTAGAGGGTTGAGACTGGACACGCTCAACACATCAACTAATTGTCAATGCAGACAAGAGCACTGTAAGACTCTTCAGCACCACTTTGACTCCCATTCAAAATATAGCACTCCAATTTATGCTGTGTTTGCCCTTGTTTGCTCTTGTTACTCAACACTCTTTGTGAAAAAACCTGCTCTCTCTTTAGCATCTCTAAGGAGTGTTTTCCAAGTTTTTCCAAGCAAATGTCCTGCAAGGGATGCTGTGATACTTCACAAAAGTAATTAATTAGTGAAGGAAAAAAACTGTAGTTTTACTGTAGTTTTTTTAAGGATTAATTTTTTAGAATATTTTAAATATTTAAAACTTCCAACCGCTACTCTTCTCTCCCTTTTCTTATTCAGATGAATCATTTATACACCATGGACTCCTCTTAAGCTGAATTAGCTAAAAGGAAGATGATAACATAAACTCACGAAATTGGCCCATTAAAAATGTAATGCCACTCAAGGAAGGCAAACATGTGTTGTCACAGTAGTAGAGGAATCGTCACAAATAAGGAACACAAAACTCAGAAAGGAAACGGCACCCAGCTGACTAGATGACATCAAAGGAAAGCAGATGCTCGGAAATCGAAAAAAGAGAAAACAAAGAGGGTTTGTTTAAGGAGAAAGGAAATGGACAGTCTAACCGTACCCCACAAAAATGCCACAAACAAAGCTACACAAATCAGAATGACTCGCCATTCAGAAACGGACAGCTTCAATAGAAATACACACAAATACAACACGACATGGAATAAAGTTGTGGTTTGAGCAGGAAAAAAAGAGTTTACGTTTGCAGGGCCCAGATCATGGCCAATAACAAACTGAAATGTTTTTTCGCTTCTATTTTTGATTCTCTGATGGCACACATTGCGTTCACCAGCATGAGGTTTCAATTTGCATTAGCCATGACCGTAAGTGTGACAGCTCAAACATATGCACTAGAAGCGGGCAGGAGATGAAGCTGTACTTAGGTGGGGGGAGGAGACGGGACAAATGAACAGTACCTGCAGGGGTGAAGGTGAAGGACTGAACTGCAAAACAAGAAGACAGAGAAGTTGTGTGTTAAAAGCCTGCAGAGGTAAGCAGCGCTTTAGGGGGGTATCTGCACACAAGGAACTGGGTCAAGCTGAGAGGTGCTGAGGGTCAGAGAATGGGAGACCACAACGTCACCCAGTGTGCAGAGCGACAGCCAGAAAGCAGCCAGCTCAGAGGCCACAGAGGTGTAAAGAGGGTGGCATAAACAAAATAAAACAGACACGCACACACACACACACACATACAAATGTAACAAACAGAAATGAAGAGTAAATTAACCAAGTCAGCATATCGTAGCACTTCTTGACTTGATCAGAAAACATCATAAGGATTTAGACTTATTTAAAAGGAAAGAAATAACGCGAGAACACTCAGAGAATACGACACTAAATTGTCAGCTCATTACCATTTTCTGTTCTCTAATTAAATCTTGTACTCCTGGCAGATTATGTGGACTTGGTGGTTGCTAGTATTGACAGGGGGGTCTCTCAGTAAGATGTCAGGGTCAGTGTGTGGGAGGAGAACTGGACAAACCCAAGCTTCAGTGACCAGCAGAGAGTCCAGCCTGCCCACTCAGCTCCATCACCCTGGGCTAATAACCAACACAGTGGGTGGATTTGTCAAAAACTGTGACCCTCTGGAAATGTTTCATGCTGACATCTGTCTTCCTTTTGAGCTTTAACACAGTAGCCATCTCAATCTCATCGCAGCGTTCTGATATATTTCATCAAGACTGCACTCATTAAAACTGAAGAACGATAGTGTAGTCGTGGTAAAATACTCCTGCTTTGAAAGAGGAAGAAAATCACTTTAAAGTTAGAAGAGTGTGTTAAGGCACCAGAATGCGTGAAACTGTGATCAATCTAACCTGCGTAGTTGCTCAGACCCTTTCTCTTCTTCCTTCTCCAGTACAGCCAGATGCTGAAGCCCATGAGGATGACCCAGCAGGCCCCCCCAATACCGGCGATAAAAGCAGGTTGTTTCACCACATCTGTGATCTGCTCTGTGATGCTGTTGTTCCGGTTTCCATGTATAATCACGTCCCGAAACTCTTTACCTGTTTGTTCAGGAACACAAAGGCGGCACTTATATAATGCTGGCTGAATAGTTACTGAGAAAAAACATAAAGATTTATGCCTTTTTGTATCATTTGATTTTTCAAGGTGAAGGTTAATGCACAAATACTGACAAGCTTAGAAATATTTCACTTTTCCCCCACACCAACAGAAACATAAAGGTTAGCTAGATTAAGCTGAAAGAAAGTGTGTCTGTTACATTTCAGCTGAGGTATTGACCAGAGAAGCAGGACATACTGTCGATCTAAAGGATGTGCAGTAAAATATATTTTACAGACTGAAAAAGACAAAGCTTAAAAGCTTATAACAAATCCCCAGGTGAGCAGGTTGTTTGCTTAGTTTAGCCCCCAATTCCCTCCACAGCTGATAAAACACACTGTGAAATGAGATGAGAGGACCCTGGTCTGTATTGATCTCCAATTGCAGCCTGACCAGTGTGCTTGACGATATCTCTTGCAGCATGGTAGGAAAAGTGCAAACCGCACGCTATTAACATTCCCATACAATGACAGGAAAAAAAATGTACACTTGTAAGGATAACAACGCACATATGTCTGCATATGCACGTGCAAAGATGCTCAAATGCTCGTGTTCTTTACATTACCAACCACATGAACACAACTATTTGCACGTCCACAGACAGGCAAACACAACATATCATAACTGTAAGCTCACGGCTCTGCTCTCAGAGATGGATTATGTGAGTGACGCTGGGGAAATAAGAGCATGCTGCGGGCCAAGCCATCAGTTATGGGTCAAATCAGGCACAATCTGCCATAGCTCCACATAAATCATATCCAGTCAGACCACATATCAAAATATTTTAACAATATCATCCATTTGGTAATTCCTAGACTTTCATGACAAAAAGTAATGATATTTGCTCAATTCCCGAGATTAAACACTAATGCTGAAATACAATTTTATTGCAACAATATTATTCGATACCCGAATATCATTCACTAAGGATTAAAAAAAGAAAGGGAAATTTGATGTCTATAAGTCAGTCTTACCAATGATAATAGGCTGGGGTTCACTCTTCACGCCAACCCCTGCACTTGTGCTGGCAGCCACTTCCACATGGTACACTACTCCTACCTGCAGCCCACCCACCACTACAGAGCGTATGGCTGCATCCACTGTCTTATTAACATGGAAACGCGTCTCATTCCCAAGACACCAGATCTGAAACGGAAAGGACAAAAATAAGTGATGCCTTTCGCTTTGTGTGACTTAAATGAGAATCCATGCTGACGTGCTGGGACCAACCTTGTACTCTTGGATGATGCCGTTCTGGTGATCAGGTGGCGGGGGGTCCCAGGAGATGCTTATGGAAGTGCTGTTCTGGTTTCCAACGGTCAGAACTGTTACCTGCTGAGGAGGGGCACTGGGAGCTGAAAGAAGAGGTGCAAATATCGATGTCAAAAGTCAAATACACTATCCATCAGTTATGGCAAAGAGAATCAAAACAGAAACAAGGATGCACATACCAGACACAGATTTTTGTTCGCCATGATATTCTATAAGGACAACCCAGGTGACCGAAGCTTGCCATGATCTTTCATTAGAGGGGGATTTACATAAAAAGTAGAGCACATCCGATACTGCTATAACCTGTCTTTAATACATCACATTGATTTAATATATCATCCTTGTCTCCAGCTTGGTAGGTTTGCACAGAAAATACTGGTATTGATTTGTAGAATAATGGCCTGGCATAGTCAGGCACGCACTCTCAGTCACACTAAGACTCTAGCATTGACCAGGGTGGCACACGGGTCAATGAGCTTATAGGATGAAGTGCAGACAAGAAGGAAATGTGAAAAAAATAAATTTTAGGAAAAGGAAACAAAGTCTCAGTAAACATATTGACTGATTCCATCGATCAGCGAGATGAAACTAAAGCCAGTAGGTGAGGATCAGAGGGGTGATGCCCATCTAAGTGGAATCTGCACAATCCACAGGCAGCCTGGGAGTGGATAGAAACAAGACAGGTCCAAGCTTTCATAAACCTCTGTTGTTATTCTGATGGCAACAATCTTCTGACCCCACAAGGGGTAAAAGGAAAAATAAATAACAGTTGGCCCAACTGGAAATAACGTTTTAAAAATAATGTTTTCTCATTTCCACAGTGGCTGGCAGGGGTGCAGCACCACAGCAGAATACTGACAGGTCAATTACTCCTGCGCTGCCGCTCTCTCACCTCACCTCCATCCAAAATGGCACGTGTCACCCTGTAAATCTGTGCTCATCCCTCAGTGCAATTGGCCACACCAACCCCCAGAGAGCCAGAAGGCCCTGGCATGGTAGAAGATGAATGGGTCCAATGATGAACCCAACACCTTAGCCAGATTAGAAACAATCTTCCAAGGGAGCATCTGATCAACCATCAAGCTCTGGGCTCTCCAACACCGAATTACATTCAGGTGACGAAGTGCTGGATTTGTGCATGGCAGTCATCAGAAGCAATGTCGTTCAAAGTTAATGTTATGAATGATTTAGCAGCTTATTATCATGCATATTTGTGCTAAACAATACACATTTTTCATTAGAGGCCTCAGAGGCTGCGCTAATAGAGCCATTAGCAGAGTGATGTATGGCAGGCAGGAATGTGACCCTCTGTCTCGCATGCACATGGCATGCTGTGCTGGATGATGAAGGAATACAAACATGTCATCCATACAAAAAAGGAGCCAATAGCTATTGAAAAGACTGGGAGTGGGATCTCCCTAGAGATCAATGTATTGTAGATCATTAGTCTAGAAATGAACATTTATACAAACATTACTGATTTCCCTTCTCCTTAAATAAGAATTACTCTGCATAAAACATGATCCTCTGTGGTGACTTCTTAGACAATTATGCAGTGGGAATCAGATGGCAGTCAGAGTTCATTTATCAGCCATGATATGGCTGTCCAGATGGAGAGTGAGAGGACGTGTGAAAAAGGCAAAGGGAGACCAAAAAGATGGACACAGCACTGGCGCGCTGAGCATACTATAACCCTGAATCTGCCTGGACGTACTCTGGGGATTCTTTAATTGTGCTAATAACAACCTAAGTTTTAATCACACTCTGAACCGGATTTCTCTATCTGTCTAGCCACATTTTCTCAGTAGTCCCAGGGACTCTGAAGAGCCTAGAGCCCCGTGTTTGACAGTGCATTAACTCTGACCAAGCGCAGCAGCAGAGTTATGGCAGAAAGTTGTTGAGATTGTGCAGGACCTGGATGCAGATAGGGAATATTATCAGCATTGGTAATAGCTGTGACATGTGGATTTAGGAAACCTTAGGGAGATGTACCTTGGCATGTGTGACTTTAAGGTATGTGTGTGTTTGTGCCAGAGTGTGTGTTGGCGAAAGCTGTAACTTGATGGCAGTTCGACTGCTGCAGTGAATGCACTAGCTGACCACAGGAGATATGGTCCCTCTGAGAAAGGGAAAATAAATGGGCCTGTCATCCCAACAGGATGTGAACTGTCTCCTGTCCATGCAGCCTGAATATGCAGTGGAAAGACAGTCTTCGCCTCCAGTATTAAGCGTCTGCATTTGTCTTTTTGTGCTGCTGTAGGTATAAAGTTATATGGTTAAAAGGTTGAAACAAGGTTGGTGGTTGTATTTGTGTTCAGGTTTATATCAAAGCAAAACAGTGTTATTGCAGGGTTTTTTTTTAATGTGTAATTAATTGTAATGTAGTTTGTAGTAGGCACTAAAACAAAAGCAGTTTTACACTTAGCTTCACTTTGGTCGCTCAGTTTTAGTTCACTACAATAAACTTGATCGAAATACATATCTGTCTGTGCGCCTGTTTATAATATAGCACTGCATTGCTCTGTGGCCTTGTCAGAGCCTGTATGAATCAAGCTTTAGGTGACAGATCATCTTCACAGGAGGAAGTGTGAGCTGTGCCCAATCACAGCTCAGATCTGTGGCTGCTGGGTGATGGATTAGACGAAGGTTGGCACTAACACCACCAATCAAAAAAAACAAAACAGCTGGAAGGTCAAAAAGATGAGCATATCCTGGAAGCATGTTTAAACAAAATACAGTTCTTAGTTTTAAAGAGGGGCACCAATGATATTGCAGCAAAAACTGGCACGGAAGCAGCCTATGGGATCGTGTCACTCATCATTTGAGTGGCTGCGCCACAGTTTGATTTTATTGCTCCTGACATACAGTAATATACATATAATCAGCAAGTTCTTCCACTTACCTTCCTCGGTGGTCCTTGCAGTCCTGGATTCACTGTCCATGCCCTGAAACTCATTGAAATAAGGCCGGACCTTGATCTCATAAACTATGCCTTTCTTGAGACCAGAGAGGATCACACTTCTCTCTGAGGGGACGTTCACATCCTGGGTCTGCCATGGTCCTGGTGATGGCAGTCCCGATGTCTGTCTGTAAAGAACTCTGTAACCCTGGATGAACTGGGACTGACGATCCACCTAAAGAGGTAAAAGAAGGCATTATTTTCATTTAGTTATTTTTTTATTTCAAAGAGAACTGTGCAAAGGAGATTAATGGATGCTACTTTGGGACATTTGATAGATAATATGCATTGATGTTTTTCTGCAATTCTTACAGGGCTGCATGTATAACACTTTAGAGGCTTTTATGACCAGCACTTCTACACTTTTCTGAATTAACACTGACATCATCTCATACCATAGATCCTACCACAAAGTGGTCCCCCCAACATTAAAAAGGCATTCCATGAAGGACATAGGAATGTCTCATGTGTATTATAAATGCTAAATAGTGGCACCATAAAGCAAGTCCTACTATATTTAGGACGTGGTATGAATATAAGAATTTCATGCAGCAACAAATACATACACCCTGGGGAAATAAGGAGGATACACAATAGAGATGGTAACAGGAGATATGTCCCATAGAAAAGATGGAGAGACAGCAATTGTAGTAGCCCCCTGAAATCCACAACGGGTCCTTCGTCTAAAACTTGGAACCATTTAGCGAGACAGAAAAAGCTGAATTTATGCAGAGGAGGAACGGGTGCATAACTCACTGTAATGGCTTGTTAACAGTAGAAGAAGAAGTGAGCAGGGCTTTCAAGTGGGATGTTAAGCAGCTGTTTTTCACCAGTGTAGCTTGAGTAAATCAGCAAAATGGATTCCGTTCTTCGTGCACGAATTTTATTAATGGAATGATTTGGGAATATAAAAGCTTTCTGAAAGGGGCCACTCTGTTTACTTAAGGGTCCCAGCCACTGATTGATTAGGCAGCCGTGTTTTGTGTTGACTGTACGCTGCAATCATAAAGCAATGCTTTAGCATTAAATTAGCGAACAAGTCCACAGGGGTCAATAAAGATGTCACCAGGAAAACTGCTAATGTGGATCATTTGAAAATGCACTCCCTTTGCCACCAAGGGATTTATAGGACCACAATCAAAATAACCATGTACATATTATACAGTCTAAACACCGTAGTGTTTCTGTTCTTATTATTAAACAGATATAAAAATTTTTTTAAAGTGTTTCACATTTGGCAAAATGTTCTAAACTTGGCCAAAAGTTTATTCTTATTTTGAAGCATCAGAAAGTGCATATAGGATATAGTGGATGCAAAGGTTCCTGTTTGCAGATTACTACACTGTATTACACAAAAATTAATTTCAATCTGCTTTTATCTGAGTAGTCCTTTATGTAAGCAGGAAGCAGCTGAAGACATATGGAAGATAGATGAACAACCAGATGTCTCTGACATCTCTTTCGATGTTACTGTGGTTAATAAAACCATTTTACAGCTATCTGATGTTCAGTTACTTTTAAGTTCCCATTTACAATTTCAAAGCTGCAGTCTTAGGGAATAACCTGACAAAAATTTCCTGGCATAAAACAAATCCTAGCCTCAAGGAGCACCTTCTGGCTTCAAAGAGGAATGTTTAATGCCAACTATCTTGACTGTGACTCAATTTTGCACAATCAAAGAATCACAATATATGCTCTTGCAGTGAAAATACTCAGCTAAAGTCTGAGTATGCTAAGCTATACTTACTGTCCATGTGACCTGAATGGTTGTGGGACTCAGGACAACAGGATTGTGCAAGCGAACTATGACCTCGCCGAGCTCCTTCTGTACGTGCCTGTGGTCCACACCCTGAGCTGGAGGGCTTATATCTACAAGAGAACAAGAAAGTAAAAATGAGAAAGAGAAGTCCCAAAGTAAAGTCAAAGAGAGTAAAATGTTTCTTACTCTTCTTAAACTCTGTTCACTCAGCTCCACACAATAAACCTTGATTCATCACCATCAGAAGTGGAATAACAAAAGAAAGAATGAATAGACCAGCCAGATTTAACAAAGACGTGTACACTTGGTAATCACGACTTCATTTAAAAAGGAGCAACTTCATCTGCATTAAAATGACCTCATTCCATTTTGTATTAAGCACTTTTCTGATCTAAAGAAAAGAAAGCAGAGTTGGGTTTGCAAAGTTCTTTAGACGTGCGACTTGTCTGCACTTACTGGGATCTGACTGAAAAACCACATCACTGAATGAACTCTGAATATATGACCCCTTAGACATACTGGATGGAAGATGAATGGACACATGACACTATGTTCCAGCTCATTTCTCCCATGCATGTGTTTCAAGTTATAAGCAATAAAAAAAAAAATCCAGCATATGAGATACTGAGTGTGGCTGAAATGAGCCACATTTTGAGTTATTTACTGGAGGAAAAAAAGCCACAAATATCATTTCCTATATTTAAAAAAAAGATGCCTCATTTACACAACCCAGCGCAGTGATAAATAACATGGACACACCAAAGGAGCAAGACAGGCCAAACACAGTTAAAAGTAGTAAAAAATCACTTTATCATCAGTGCATGCTATTGTCAATCAACACTTCTATATATCATCTGAAGGTCTTCATCTCACCATGAGAGAGATAGGCTGCAAATCAAATTCACTTTTTTAGGATGGTATTAGCTTACATTTGACAGAGCACGGCCAAAGGATTGCTTGTGGGAGGGTGTTATCATATCAATGCAATCTGACTGCAGACTGTCCAGTACTGTAACCAAATCATCTTTGGGTTTGGAGACAGTCATTTTCTTCTGTTATGATGATTAACATAGCAGGCATAGCACTAACTCTGTTAGGCCTTCCAAAAGTAGACATGGCTATTTTACATAATTGCTTAAGTGCAGCCTTAATGAGCTGAACTGCAATGAAAAATTTGACCTCTTGAAAGTTGTGCAGTGTTAGTGTCAGTATAACTGTTCACTGCAGACTGCTGAGATGGGCTGATAAGTACCAGAGTTTGGAGTGGAACACAGCGACCTTAATCTATCCTTAGAAACAGAAATCAAATTCAGCTTGTGGCTTATGAAGAACCTATGCATACATGCAGTGAATGTGATGAAGTTGCTTTATATTAGTGTTATGTAAGGTACCTTGTGTTCTGACAGGATCAGACATGGGGCTTGGATCGCTCAGGCCCTGGCTGTTCACAGCTCGCACCATGAACAGGTAGATTGTGTTCGGACGGAGACCTTTGACAGTGAACTGGGTGGTTTTGACGTGGTCTGCCACTGTTTGCCAACTGTTGCTCACTGATTGACTGCAGTGCAAGAGAAATAAAGTTATATCTGCAATCCATAGCATACCAAAGCTGATAGCTAGTGACTGGCGCTTTAATGGGAGTGGTAAAACAAACCTGAACGCTTCAATGACATAGGAGGAAACAGGAGACGCTCCAGCCAGCCCAGGCTGCCAGGACAGGGACACACTGTTCTTGGTGACATCGGTAACTTGAGGTTTAGATGGTGGGCCTGGAAGCTCATTATCATCATGGTTCTTCATTACAATCACTCCACCTGATTCTGAAAGTTTCAGTGAAGAATACAACAAACAGCCATTTTCATCAATAAACAGTAAAGTTAAAACAAATATCACGTCAATATCATGTCATCTTCCCTCGACCTACCTTTGACTTCCAAGAAGGCACTCCATGAGGTTTCGCCACTGGAGCTGGTGGCCACACATGTGTAGATCCCAGAGTCTGCAAGCTAGAACACAGTGGAATAAAGACATATATATAAATGAAAACAAGCAGCAAACAATATAAGCAGTAGTAAGGATTCCATTAATAACACTATTAGCGAAAGGGACATTTTAGTTCCCCCTCCTTAAAGCAGCAGTGACTGAATACGTGTTTCCTCCTATCGCTGACACAGTGAAACTGATGGGGGGACTTCTCCGGCTAGGCCCTGCGCTGGACAAGCCGTGTGTCATTTGTGAGTGCCTCAAAGTGCTGACGCTAATTTCCTAATGAATTCCATTTTCTACTCACCACCCTTCCATCACTTTTCCACTCCCCCTCCATATTTCCCCACTGTCCTGCCGACCACAACAAAGACAGGCTAATTAATTTAGGATGGGCTGCAAGAACCCCCTGGACCGATGACAGCTGGCTTGTCTCTCCATCCCTCTTAGGAACTTTGGTTGTTTGTTGGTTTCTGTCCCTGTGCCTTCCTTCCATTTATTAAATAACATGTCAGTGGTCACCGGTTTTGTCAAGCGTAATAGGTATTCCACTGAGGCCACAGAGTGCAGAAAGGGAGATGCGATTCTTCTAAATTTAATCTACTTGATACATTTGCGTGTGCATAAATGTGTGTGTATATATTCTGAACCACAGCTGGATTCCATCCAACCCTTCACAGCTGAACTCAAATGGAGCTACCATGCCACTAAGTGATACAATCATGCAGGTTAAACAGGGGGGTTTGGTACTTCTTGTATGCCCACTGGAAAAACCTTGTATCCTGGAGTCTTGAAAACATGACCATGCGGTTGCAAATAACTGCAAATAACAGCATTAACATTTTATGTTAATGCTGGTTTTAAGCTCTGCTACAAAGAAAGCACAAAACTTTTAACACATAGTAGCAGTTAGTAGTAGTAAAATCTTTTACCCTGATGTTTTTGATCTGCAGACTGCCCAGCTCCTGCAGCGACATGCGGGGGTCCTTTCCTAGTAGACTGACCCCATCCTTCAGCCAGCTGATGGAGGGGATAGGATCTCCTGAAGCCTGACACTTCAGTAGCGCCATACTGTCAACCCCCAGGGTCTGATTGGATGGGCCTTGGCGAATAATAGGCGGAGGTCTATCTGTGAGCACTGTGAAACAAAGAGGAAAATGTGAGTGTTATCCATATTCTGTAGTTCAGATGAATGATGATGCTCATATAATGCGCATGACTATAAAATAAACTGAGTGATAGCACTGGTTATAAAACACACAGCGGGGGGCGGATATTGGTATCTATCATAAAGTAGACTATTTTCTCTGCAGGTCTTGTAATTGTGCCACAGAACAATGATTCCTGTATTTCCAGGAAAGAAAAGCTGAGTAGTGTTTTCTTCTTTCATTGATGTGGCAGAGGGATGCTAAGCGGTTTCCAGTTACTGCCTGGGTAGCTTTATTTTTACACACTACTCTAGACTCTGTGGTACAGTTTGGCGGTGAGACACTGGCCTATTGAGCCAGTATGGTTCAGATAAATACTTCATTATGTGCAGTGTGGGGCACAATAAAAGGTGAATTTTAGAAAGTATGGAAACTGGACTCTTTATATCAAAAGAATCAGAGTAGGTAACCTTAATTTTTTTATTATTTGGTTCCAGTTTCAATTTAAATGCTACAACTTTGATGGATTCCATTTATATGAGCAAATTCATTTGTTTTAATGTGCCAGAAAAGCCTTTGGGTAACATCTGTAAAATAGGGGATGTGTCAGAGGCGATCTCAGAGATTTAGTACTGTAGCACAAAGGCAGTTTATATATTTAGAGTTGAATAATGTGGAGTCCCCCTGGCTTCGCAGAACCTACATTAATTAGAAAGTATGGATTAATGATGTCAGACCTGCAGGGGCTAATTACCAAGTACCTCAGTAACCTTTCAACACATTATCACACCTCGCTTGCAACCCTATTTTCTGTCCCGCAGTTACATCTGATAAAAGGAAGTGTTTCCAGATTATTCTCTCTACTTTCGTAGATGCTTCGGGTCAAGAAGGTGGAGAGAAACCTGATATGTTATCCACCAGCCAAATATACTACATTAATTCCACCTTTTTGTTTTTAGGCCTCTATAATAAGTAAGTAGGGCAAATGTGATCAAATGAATCAAAAGTAATAATGTAAAGTTGAAATCCAGCCAAGAGACGATTCAAAGCACTTGCTTCTAGCCAGGGACTCAGTAAGATACAGTTTGTCTTCTGATAGCATAGTTTGTCAAATTAAGATGCATTAAATTATAATGTGCATCCATGTTTGTTAAAAGATGTTTAAAGCAACGTTCCTCACATTAATGCAGTCCTTACTTAGTACAGTACACTGCTGTAAGACTCGGTTTGACAGAAGCTAAAGCGCAAACAGAAGGCATGGTTTGGTCAAGGGGTTTGATGCGTTTAATTTATGTGTCCATGGCATGTGGGAGTGACAAAGGGAGGAGGCAAAGCTCAACTAAGGCCTTGGGTCTCTGGATCAGGAATTTCTCATTACAGATCTCCTTGAACTCCACAGACTGCTGGCGGGACTCCGGGCAGTAAATCACACGAAGACTGCAGCAGGTGTGGCCATGACCTCACCCTGACCCACACCACACTCTTTCCTCCTTTTCCACTGATTTTATTCATTTTGCTAACATGTCTTCAATAGCATATCTTGGCAAAAATAAAAGTGGGAATTAAAATACCTTAACTATAACAATGCTACACATTTCATTCCAAAGTGAATGTGTTTTTCACCATACTGTCTACACTGAGTTATGGAGACATCCTATTTGTTGCCACCACCTGTCCACTATACTGCCATTAAGTTGATCACCTTGTGGCCCTGGTACTGCCAATTGTGAGCTGGAAGTAGTATCACTAATATCCAAAAAGGATATCTGTATCTTTCTTTGTAAGACTTTGATAGAGTTCTTCAGTCTGTCTGAGACACTCATAAAGAATTTAAAGCCCAATCAGAGTTCTAACACTTGTGACTGTTAAACCCGCATGCCATGTGTACAAAATGTTTGTTTAAATAAAAATACAAATAAAGCTGAAAAAGTGATAAGCAGGAATTTGAAGGGCACTTTCAATTATGTACCTGCACCCGACTGCAAAACAAAACCAAAAAAATGCCCATGCTGTGTTTTTAATCTTTTTGCTAGCAGGTACTTTAGCCGACATATGGATAGCCGTCTATCTTGCCATCACAATAGCTGATTAGATGCTCCCGCGCCTAGCAAGACAAAAATAATTCATTTCATAGAAAGCCACTGTCACTCTATCAGTCTCCTTCTCCTGCTCCCGCCCTCATACACAAACATGTGGCTCCCTCCCTCACCAAACCGCTGACCATTAAACTTGAACAAACTCAAGGGCAATGCTCTATTTTCTTTCCAATAGGAAGACGAGGCATTTTTAATTAAATTGCATCAGGAAAGAAAGAAATAAGTGCACAGAGCAAAAACACAGTAACTGAAGGTTATGGACATACTGACATTTCTTCAACAGTAGTTGAATTTTCTTTGCACTTTGACTGTTTAAAAAAATTCATTTGTACTTGTGCACCTACTGCACACACAAAGGTCTTGAAGGCCAAATTCCTACTTGCACTTAACCAGGCAATAGCCGTGTTGTAGCTAAAAGCTGACAAACTCAAGTCAGATGCCATCAGTGTCAGTATAAGTAATTTGTTTGGTGATGGTTCACCTGCCTCACCCCATCTGCAGTGGTACTAAGCAATGTGTCAGTGTGTAGTAGTGTGCTGGCATGGCAGAAGTTACACGTCAGGTTTTCCTCACCATCTGTGACCTCCAGTTGAGCCTTGGCGAGGATACTGCCTGCAACGGTCAGGGCCTGGCAAATATAGTAACCAGCATCTGCCCGCTGCACAGATGAGATGGTCAGGGCTCCACTGGGCGACACCGAAAAGCGATTGTTGGGCTGCTGGGGTTGGTTGGGAAAGAGCAAATTCTGCAGGAAATGGAACAAACAGCCAATTAGTGAGAACATGGAAGCAGTTCAACCTGGAAGAATTACAAAAATGCTCACACATCCATCACCATTGAATCCACACATATACTGTGCACACTAACATGCAAACACATCCGACTATTAGTGTAATCACAGCATGAACAATTCTCTCTTTGACTATGTGAACGAGCTGCAAAACATGTTTGATGACTTGGTTTCATACTTATTCTTGGGCCAAGCCAGTGGCTCCACTCTCTTAGGAAGGGAACTTTTTGCTCTTGTTGGCTTCATGACCACTTTCCTCTCTGTTTCAATTCCACAGTGGTTTTGAGATTTTTTTTAAAATGTATTTTTTTTAAAAGGAAACCACCTCATGTAAATTAGACTTTATTAAATATAATGTAATCTTGAATTTAGAAAGGAAGACATAATCAGCGTAACACATTTCAGAGTAAATACACAGAATTAGACGACTAATGACACAGAAAAAAGTACTTCTTTCTGAGTAGTTCCCACCTTGTCCCAGCTATTCCTGTACTCTTTTATTAGGATCCCCAGAGGGAACCAGCAAAAACAGCTGGATTGAATTACATCTAATCACTTACATGTAGCAAACTGCACAGTTTCTTTTCTATTAGACTCTATGGGTCTCCAGAACATATGAGATGTTCAACTGGAAGAAATGCATTAATGTTATTTAACTAATATACTTAATTAGCTTTAACAAATACCATCACATCACATCACATCACAGTAAGGATAAAGAATAGAAAGCTTTAATAAACACAAGGACAAGTGCCAACAAGTGCAGAAATGTCAAGAACGAACAGTCATTTGAAAAGCCTCAACTTTAATGACAAAGTGAGGCACACACAAAATTTGAGTTCTCATTACTCAATAGCACTGACTCACGATGCTTTAGGTAACATATTGTTATTTGAGTATCATACCTGTGCAAAGTTGTAAGCATGTGTCTCACTTCTGTTCACTGTTTTCAGAAAACTCTGTTGTAATTGTTGGCCTGCAGGCTATGCGTGAGCGTGTTTCAACCTTAGCGAGAGCTGAATCATATCTGTGGCTCATCTACAAGCCTCAACAGGTTCCTAATTGGCACTGTTGTTGACCGTTGTGAGGACACACAGGTATTTGAATGGGTTATCTGCTTGAGTGAGGGTTAGGATCGTTCTTATCAGTTCAGGGTCACAGAAAACCAATTAGCACTTTGCCAGGCACACTTTGATTTGGCGGATCCTGAGAACAAAGGTGTATCTATGTGTCTGTGGTAAAGATACCGATCGCAGATAGTGTAGAAGTGCTGTCTGTGTGTGTGTGCACAAAGCAGGGGAATCCAAAAAACACAATGACTGTGTGTACAGTTGGTAGAATCGAAACCTGATAACGCCAGATGTACGGTAGATAATAAATCCCGCCTAAAAAGAGAGTGATATGTTTTCACATGTAAAAAATAATAATGAAAAAGTAATTAAAAAACAACATTAAACTGGATTAGTCTGTGTTTGTACCTGACTCCCCTCCTTCTGCCAGAAGACAGCAGGTTGTGGATTTCCTTTGGTTTCACATGGGAAGGTAGCAGTACGGCCTTGTGACACGATTTGGTCCCTTGGACGGATGACAAACTGGGGAGGAGCTGAAGTCAAAGGGCCAGAACAACAGTGTTAGAGGACCTGCGGTGCATAGTGAAGCCGAACATTAAGGCTTAAGGACTTCAAGCAAAAACAAGCAATATACCACATGGTAAAATCAAAATGGGAGTGCTGTACAGAGCTTCCATGCAGCATCATATCTGTCTTTTGCTCTGAACACCAGTGACTATCATGACTCTCACTGCCATGGTAACAAGGCTGGCCATTCATCCAGGTGAGACTGAAGCTGAATGAATGACAGTCACAGTGGCATTCACACAAGGAAGCGTCTCAGTCACAAAGGCATTTAGATCTGAGACAACACATAGGCACACCCATGCCCTGGAAAAATCGAAAACTATAACAGGAATAGACAGGGTTAATTGTGTCTGACTTTCCATATGGAGGGTTTACTCTGCATCAGAATGCATCTCATATAAAAGTCAAGATTGTGAGCAGCTTGATACAACTTCTGATCAAAGCTGTATCAAAAGTGAGTGAGAGAAAGAAAAGACTACTTCAGTGTTTACCACACAACAAGCTAACACTTGAAAAGCTATCAAAGTCTGAAACTGTACTGTGAAGCTTTCTCAGTTAACATTCACACGTTTATCAGCAGCTAGACGAACAGTGAGACATTTCTGACTGACAACTTGACAGATGCAGGTCAATAACAAAGACAGCGGACTGGATACAACTTCTATTGGCGTGCAGTGCTGCCGTTTTTGCTTTCTGACCGTTCCGTGACACCAGGTGAAGGAGGGAGAATTTCACACCAAACTTTGTTTCACAGATATTTCAATTGCTTTTTAATGAGATATTTAACAAGCAAAAGCTGACATAATCCAAGTGCATAGATGGCACAAAAAAGGGATATAGCATGTGTCCTTATGCATGAAAAACTTTAGTATCCAGACATAATAATCTATCATTTGATAGATGATGATCGGTACAAGTGCAAGAAAGCATTTTAATTATCTGAGTAAATTACTGCCTGACCCAGGGCCTCTACTTGTTTCTTCGGTGAATGTCATTGAGGGTCATGTTGACAAGAGCCATGTTTGCCAAGATAAAAATCAAAAACTCTTACAGAGGAAACACAGCTCCTGCAGAGATAATGAAAGTCAACACATTAAGGGCCCTGAGTCACTGCCATACTATCAAATAAGCACAGAGAGTGGATTAGAGGGACCATTTTCTTTGCAGAAACACAATGAGAAACACCAAGACTTCTGCAAAATTCTGACAAGAATTGTTGCAATGCAACATCTTGCACTCTTTCTGTTTCTTTTGATTTCTTCTAAGTCCTTTCTCTGATAAGCCAGCTGGTTCCAGTAAGGCCAAACTCTTCCCATTTGGCTGGTTTCATCATGTAATCCCTTTTTGGGCGTGTGTATTTGTCAAAGATACACACAGTTGGGAATGGTGCAGATGGCAACAGATTTACTGCTTTGCCGTTTGGCCTTCTGCTGCTTGGATATCTTGTGGCTCTCACAATGCTGGGCCTGATACAGAGCTCTTAAATCCTGCTCTGGCAAGGTCTTAGTTCCCTCCCTTCTCTGCTCCATTCCATACCACACACTGCATTATTAACAACTCACTAAAATGTGGTTTCACACCTTACAGAATGCCTCCTATCACTGTACTACCCAGCATGGTCCTTTGTCACTTTCTCAATTCCCATTAATGACTCTTTGTTTGCCATTCTCATGGACTTATTTACACACTTAAGCAGAAAAAGGATGCTTACTTCCTTTCCCCCCCACTATTTATGATTTAAAGTCATGTTAAATGGGCCTGAATTCTTATGCTTTGAACTGTTTTTCAGGTATGACTCATTGTTTCCAAAGTCAGACCAAAAAAACCCCTCTTTTATCTACAGCCAATGTTAACATACCAAATAAAAGGAAGCAATCTGTTTGGAAACCAGTTTTGTCATGACCCACAGATATCTTGGGGGCATTTTCTGAGATATCTTTTTATTAATGGTTAAGCTTCCTAATGTGCAAGTGTGCTAAACTGTTAGATTCACTAATAAGTGCCAAAAACATCCAATCCATCCTATCTCAGTTGTGTGATTGGTGACTCCAGTTAAAACTGCAATTTAAACAAAAAGGCTCGGCTTTGTCTTTACTGCTTTTCTATTAGTCAACTACATATTTCACAACTTTTCATCCCTCTTTCTATCTTTAAATTATATTTGAATAAAATAGTCATGGGGAATGTGATTGAGAATGACCAAAAAGTAGACAGGGTCCAATGGAGAAGAACAGATCAAAACTTTCGACAAATCAAGGGGAAGTTAGTGTGCGACAGTTTCACAGCTTGGCTCAGGGCTAGCAGACATTGGCCCTGTTTTTTATTCAGAAACCCTTAATGACATATGAGAAGCTCCTTCCTGTTCCCTCCTAAGGAAACACACGATCAGGGGCCCATATTTAATTCATGACAAGTCACATCTGCCTGGCTTGGAGAGGGCTCGGCATAAAACAGCAGTCAGGGTGAAAAGAACAAATGGACAAAGAGACAGCGATCCATTCAGCACACTCAAGCACAAATATTTCTTCCTCCTTTAAAATCCCACATTCAATCATATTTTATTCAAAAGTTGACAGCAATTACTGTCTCTTCCCACAGGCAGAGTGAATGTGTAATTTCCTCCATCTTCTTGGAAACTGACAGTTTGACAATCAGAGAACCGCCACTGCTGTTTTGCCAACCAAAGTCCTGCCATTGAGGCAGTGTCTGTTTTTTTCTACCAGTCAAGCTTGTCTTGACACACACTTCTGCCATTCTTTTCCCTTTCTTTCTCCTCCTGCATATTTCTCATTATTGCATTCTTCCCATTTCTGCACTCAAAAGCACGTCTTTCTCTCAAGATGCCAATTTTCACTTACTCCCTCTAACAATCTCACATATGAAGTGTGCCAAATGTGGTTTTCTGTTGACCTACACCAATCTATTGGGAAATAAAACGACATTCCCAGACCGGTGTTCTTGGGCTCAGAAGGAAAGAAGCTGATCAAAACTAAACAGATCTCAGCTCTGTGATCCAAAAATCCACAGATGGCCTCAAGACTCGCAAGTTAAACACATTCTGGACCATATGAGATGACAATGTCTGAGTCAATTACACTGCTAGCCCACTCTTTCACTGTAAAGAATAGAGACTACAATCTAAAGAACCTTCAGTTTAGAGGAACAGTGCTAACATAAGCCTTGATCTATAATAATAAAGCAACATACGCAATATTCATCAGCTGCCAGTAGAGCTCAAGTATATGCGATAAAAATACAAAATGATTAGTAACTTTGTGACAATGCAAAGTTTAGGACAGCTGTTTATCCACGGGAAAGCATTTCTAGTAAAGTCGTAAAGCATCAAGGAATTTCTATGTACCTAACACTCCTGAAATTAAACCTGAGAACTGCCACTAGAAAACATCATTTATTCATTCATTCATTCATTTTAAACTGGATATGCTAAAGAGCACAGCGTGGAGAGAACAAAAAAAAGGATCTGTCTAAATCTATATCTGATGTATAGACAGAAAAGTTTTAGTATAGTTTCTGAACTCTAAAGTACGTACAAGAGCCAGGTAACGAAAAGAGATACAGCTCTAAAATCTGCAAATATCTCACAAGTATCTGATGCACAAAAAAAAACAACTGAAAGGACTTATGCAACAAATGTGTTAGTCAAGTACAGGAATGTTAAAGCGATGGTTAGTGATTGTCAAGCAGTCAAATGCAACAGGGTGTATGGAGAAGGCATGCAGCATGGGATCAAATCAGAAGGATGGGTACTTACCGACGGGGCGAGCTGGAAACACGACAATGGTGGAGTGGATACACAAAAGAAACAAATTAAGACACAGACGCACAAACATAAAACAACACAAAAGGAACAGAACATAATAAAATAAGACAAGGGAAATCAAAATCAGAATGAATGACATGTTGTGTTGGGCAAACACACTTCTAGCACAGTGTAAGCGTTACAAAGAGAGGATCCAGTAGGTTTTGTCCACTGCCCACTGGACAGTTTTGCTGATGAGCTCCCATCATCTGTTTCTCAGACCCCTGAATGACAGAGGCCGTCTGATGTGAATACCCACTGGTAGTCAAAAGTCTTAAATTGCATTCAAATTTCAGTGTGGGCAGTCATTATTGCTCCTCAGGGACAAATACACTGCTGGACCTTCTCTGCAATAATGAAATCTACAATTCTATGGGTGGTGTATGTTTGTAGTAGCGAGGCAAAGATGTGTTTGCCATAAATGCTGATGAACAGAACCCAAAAAAAGGAAAGAGGAGGAAAAAGAACCAAAAAAAAAAGTCAGGCATGTAGGTTATATCCAAAGGATGAGTCTTCTGAAAGTGTCACAGAGAAGTAGTTGTTGGTAGTTGTTCCCAATGTTTCCTCTGCCTTGCTGTATGGGTACTCATGGTGAAGTAAACAAAAAAACTTAGGTGGTGCTCTCACGAATCTGGATTCATAAACAAGTAGTCAACCAAGACCTTGTTTTACCTCCTCTGGTCCTCTGTGTCGCTGTAAAGCGCTCCACAGAGACGTTAAGCACTCGACTTTAATGGGAAGAAGAGTGGTGAAAATAGAAAAAAAAATGGTTAGAATGATTTTATTAACCTTGCAAACCCCAGGTGTGGTGTGCACCAGTAATCTGTGAAATGGCTTTGCTGACTGGGTGGTTACAGCATGGAGGGCAGTGTGGCTTGCAGGCCACCACAACAGGGGGAGGGTGGCAGAGTGTGTCGACGCTGCACTTGGAAATGTAAATAATTAAACAGATTCATGGACTGCCTACATCTCTCTTGGCTATAGTACTCAGCATTCTGCATTTCCACTTGTGTAATGGGGACAGTAACGAGTGAATTATCAATCCAAAACTTCATCTTTGTATATAAGAAGAATAAGAACAATACGCTCAACAGTTTCTCTGTGTGTTTTTAACTGATTGATTTAATTGTTTGAATTGATATATATCTGTTTCATACCTCTGACTGTGAGGGTGGCGGAGGCCTCCAGCTTGCCCACACGGTTTTCTGCGACACAGGTGAATGTGCCCTCGTCATTAATGGAAGCCTTCTTCACTCTCAGCACATAGTCCTCCTTGTCATACTTGATCTCATACCTGTTAACAAAAACATAACACTAATATTCAAGTTGCCTTATCATCATTTAATTCAAATGCTATGAAAAAGAAGCATTAACCAAGTAAAACTCTTTTTAGAACTGTATGACAATAGATGTTAAAGATTTTCCCCTCTTGGAGTGGTACAGGGAAGCAAAACTGGTCGTTTTGACAAATGGAGATCGCAAGGAGCAGGATCAATTATTCAACAATGACAGGCAATACACAGAGACGTATTCATTCAATTGGAAATGCTCAAAACCTGTGCAATATTCATGAGCTGTTTTTCAATAACTGTGTGTATATATACATGTGTGTGTGTGTGTGTGTGTGTGTGTCTCAGCCCCATATGATTTTTATCGACACTACACTTTCTTAGTGTAAGACATGTTAACTGACTGAATCAATATATCAAGTGTAGCAGGGAAAGGTTGTTTCCAATTTCATTGTGGTAGTCAAATATTTGTGTTGATGTGTGTCTGCAGACCTTTGTGAATTATATGGTAGTTGACAAGCCGGCAATGCTGGTATGGTTTGTTTTTGCAGTCTGTAATTGAAGAGGGTGCCTGTTCTGGCAGTGTGTAAGTAGTATGTTAGTTGAGGGGTGGTAGTGCTGTGTGATGGTGGCCTGTCAGGCTGACAGTCCTTCCCTGTCCACAGTCTGTCACTCACAGAGGCCAAAAACAGGCATCAGTTCAAAAGATTAATGTTAGATCTGCATTAGACAAGAATGTGATTACAGATATTTTAAAAGATTAGCATGTAGAAAACAATAATATTGGTAGAACTGATGCAGTGCAGTTAGTTCAATAATTTGTTGGACAAAGTCACAATTTTTGTATTTTTGCCTCTGTATACTGCCACAGTGGACTTCAAATTAAACGGATTAAACATCCAGTATCTGGTTAAAGTGCAGACTTCCAGCTTTAATTAAACAGGCTTTACAAAAAAAAATCTGCATTAACTGGACAATTAACTGACAAGCAGATTTGTGGTCAGGTGAGGCCTGTTCCCTTGTTATTTCATGACAAATGAAGCAGACATAATATGTGAAGTTGATTCAATGTGTTGAATTGTTATTTAATAGCTTTTCACTGTCAATTTGAGTATGAGGCACATATAAATGTCTGTGCCAGTAAGGGAGGGCATCATTAGGCTGAAAAAAAAGAATAATAATAAATGAGAGAGACAGCAACTACTACAAGTGAGCAAATCAGCAACATCTGGTAATTTCTTAAAAAGAATGAATGAGGGCCTGAAAGAGTTTTAGCTGTCATATAATATAACTCACAGCACACCATGAAATAATTATTTCAAGAGTTAAAAAATACAATTTCATAACATCCAACCAAGTCAACACCACTGTCGAAGAGGGATCATTGTCGAAGTCTGCAAAGTCTGCAAAAGATTTTCAGACTTTTTCAAATCCACACAGGAGCTTTAAAGAAAAAGCCTGACATCATATTACTCTTTTATTATAGCACATGCCCATGTGCTATAAAGCTCCACACTTGCACTCCAACAACTATTAAAAACACATAAAGAACTGCAATGTCTGCCTAACAGAGCAAACCCTACAGAGATTGAAAATGCCAAAGCAGAGTTGTTTCTGAACAAACTACACTGGTCATGTTCTCTGTAATGAAGAAAAATACTACCCAGTCCAACAGTTTGACTGTTTTATGTGTTTTTAATGGTTTTTTGATAACAATAGAACTTTACAACACAGAGAAATACACCATATAAGGCTTTGGCTTTACAGATGATACTAGTTAAAGGTGTAAAGTTTTGAGTTTGGCTTTTGATCGTCAATAAAAAATGAAATTATACTTTTAAGTGTGTTTGTTTTTTTATAAAAAAAGAGGATAACATTTACTCTGGATACCACAATTGAAGTTAGGACAAACAGTGTTTAACAGTAGTACTTTGCAACTAAGGTAAGAGTATGATATGGTCCATTTCCCTGAGAGTGGAAAACACCTCTCTGCTCAACCATCAGGTGCACTGATGGCTGTTTTCCACTGGCAGCTGCAAAACTAATCTATCCTGTCTATCCATGTCTATTTTTTTTTTTACCTGCTGTTATGACATTTCCTCAGCAAGCATTCAATGGCAGCTTTATTGAAGTAAATTCCTCAACTATGCCTGTTCCACCCCTCCACACATGTATTTAAGGAGCCATAATGATTATTTGACTGAGTCATGACTGACTGCTTTGTTCTAGAGAGAAGTGATGTACAGTTCAGGTAAGAGTGGGGGATGTGCATAAAGCATTTATTGTTGAAACCGAGTGCGTGGCATCCAGAGGAATGAGGCAGCACATTCTGTGGCAAGCTTGCTGTCAGATGAAAAACAAACAAGCTAATAAAGAAAGCATCCTCCAGTACCTTCCCTCCGGATGGTAAGGATCAACGTGATTTCCTTACTTGGAAGAAAAGGTGAAAGAGTGGTGGGACAAGTTAGGGCTTATGCAAAACAACACGACTCCTGAACAAAAGGAGAGGTGAGCAAGTGAATAACACATAGTTTCCACCGTTTTCAATCAAGCTACGCAAAACGACTCTCAACCGAGGCTGGCTCTCAAACTTCTTGCACGACATGCGCTTTCACCTTGTTTCTCACATTTTAACACTGGCCAGACCAGTCTCAATCGTTTCTGAAAGGTTTTGTCAGCACAGAAGGACTCACCAATAATGAACATAGATTTGAGAAAACATTAAAAGCAACTGGCATTGTGTTTGTTGCTTTCAGCTATTTGTAGGACTTTTTCATATGAGTTTAAAAAAATACATTCATTATAGATTTAACTATAGGATCCAAAGGCACATCTCTAAAGTACGGGAGTTGTATACATATATGTCTGTGGCACAACAGTGGTTACTTAGTATATAACTAATAATTATCTAGCACATTCAAAAGCGTTCAGTAGTTAATGGTAAATCTGTCCCTTTTCTCTGTGTTGTCACACTCAGAGCTACAGTTTCTATTTGTTCGGCTACAGCTACACTACAGAAATAGTGTTTAGAGACCACTGCGCAACTAAAATTATTGTGACAGTGTGAATCAACTTACAATCTTCTTGCTTTTTAAATGGTCACTTTGAATGAAGGGTCCAGGTCCGACACCTGTATGAGTTCGTTTCTTCACACTCACATTGGTGCATCAAGAATGTGATAAAACGGCAATAAGACAAAGTAAGTCTGCTATCAGTTTTTGACTGAACAGGGTCAAGCTGGCATTTAAATACAATCTGTTTCTGATAATACTATGATTAACTGTGAGGAAACTCAAATCTGTTGCAGACTGTTGCAAAAATGTTGGCATCTACGTCAAACGTGTAGCGCTGTACCAGCGTGCTACTACTAGACCTGGCAGAATCCACACAGACTGGGCCAGATCTAAATTGGGCAGATGTATAAATTTAGAAACAAACAGATGCAGGTAATGCGTGGCTCAAGAGTTGGGAGTTCGCCTTGTAATCGGAAGGTTGCCGGTTCGAGCCCCGGCTTGTGTCCTTGGGCAAGACACTTCACCCGTTGCCTACTGGTGGTGGTCAGAGGGCCCGGTGGCGCCAGTGTCCGGCAGCCTCGCCTCTGTCAGTGCGCCCCAGGGTGGCTGTGGCTACATTGTAGCTTGCCATCACCAGTGTGTGAATGTGTGTGTGAATGGGTGGATGACAGGTTGTGTAAAGCGCTTTGGGGTCCTTAGGGACTAGAAAAGCGCTATACAAATACAGGCCATTTACCATTTACCATTTAATTAATTTCATTACTGACCATCATTCTAACAAGAGCAGCACAAATTTGCTGATAAATGATAAATAAGAGTAGGCTGAAGACAAAGAAATATGTCTATTACATAAGGGGGAACTCTTCTGTTAAAAATTATAGGGAACTAGTTGTAGTCCTGAGAACCGAGAATCAGGTGGAGAACAGGATTTATCCAGAGCTGCTTTATCACAAACTATATAAACCTGGAATCTATGTATAACAGCTGGCATGCACGTGTAGAAGAACACAAAATATTTTTTACTGGCAGATAATAAGCTGTCTATGTGTTAATGAAATTACCGCTACTGTGCCATGTCCCCAAATACACAAACTGCTTTGGTTTTTCTGCATTTTGAGAAAATGACCTGGAGTTGCGTACCATCACTGGTGTCACATATCCTGCAGGTACAAAGGCTTTTCAAAAGAAATGTTACGCACACGGTTTGTTGTTTTTCAACTGATGTTACAGCTGCTGTGATGGGTTAATAGAGAGGAAGACACACACTCTTGAGTGAAAACATCAATGTTAATGTGAGATTATTCACTGCATCACTGATGCTGTATGTTACAGAATTAACATTAATTTACTAGATGAACCTTAGTTATCTATGTGGAAAATTATAGCTGTGTTAAAAAAACCCAATAATAATAATAATAAAGGTGATACGCTGCAGACGATGCTCTGCAGTAAAGCAAAAAATAAATAAGAAATCTCTTGTCAGAGCAAATTTGTTTTTTCTTCAGGAATCTACTGTAGTGTCATAATAATTCTTTAATCCGACAGCATTTTGTGCTGTTGTATTTTGACATTATTTTATGTTGTATATTACAGTTAAGTGGTAGAGCTTCCCAAAGAGTGCAAAGTAGATGGGGACTATAATGCTGGCATGGTTTACCGTTTGTCTTGTTGGTCTTGATTGCCAGGTCTGAAGTGGAAAGCATGAGTCTGGAAATATATCATTTAACAAACCCTAACCCTAACATACTGTTACATTCAGACATTAATCTAACACACTAACACATTAAATGGAATAACACAGAAACATGAATGTTTCTCTATGTGAACTGCTCATAAAAGGCTTTCAGATGTGTTTTCATTGTGTACCAATTTAGAAATTTACAAATGTGACTAAAAGCCTGAAACACAAAAAGGAAGACATGCATTTGTATGTACTGTATGCATTTCAGATGCTCCAATAAGTACAGTTCAGTTCTTCTCTGTTTCAACAA